GCAGCCAACCTATTACTGTCATACATGTGGAAATAACAGAGTGTATCTCAAAACACACCCAAGTGCAAAAATGGTCCTGTCTCCTCTAATTTAACAAAAATAAAGCTGATGGCAATCTATAATTTCTGCTATTTGCCCCTGCCTTTATGTACACCTGTACACTATTTTTAAAGCCTATATATCAGAAAGAGTCAGAGTCCTAAGTTTTTGATTTAGATAATTTGACTATTATAAAATAAACAGGAGTGGTGGATTCATTTAAACAGAACAGAGCAGTGTTTCTCAACCTTGGCAGTGTGCAGATGTCTGGATTTCAACTATGCTGGCTAAGGAATTCTGGGAGTTGAAGTCCACACATCTTCACGCTGCCAGTGGTTGAGGAAGACTGGAATAGAAAACTAAGAGTTACCGGAATAGAATGCTTTTGGTATTAATATTCAACTTTATTTAGGGCCCAGATAATTGCATGCACCTAAGCAGGCCTACCCCCTCGCTTGCTCTTTTCATTCATTGACAAAGCCTTCACATCCCCCTCCACCATTCGGAGAGAATGGCTTTGGCTGCCTTACATAATCAGACTCTTCCCAGGATTTGGAATAATGCAGCAAGAAAGCTCCTGCTTGCCATCTTCTGGCTGGCCCTATATGGGGAAGGGACTTGGGTATTATGATCAAAGAGCCAGGATCCACTCCTGAAAGATTTGTAAAAACTATTTCCAGTCTTTGCAGAGAAATGCAGAACAAAGGCATTTAGAAAATACTTTCGCGTCCAAGACAATCCAAGACAAAACTTTAGGTACTATTTGACATACCCCATGTAGGTAGGTCTGTCTCGCCACTGAATTATGCTCCAGAGTGGTTCTCAAATCCTCATCCACGGATTCAAGACTCAAAGAACAACAAATTTAGGCAACTAGCAGGTTTGCTCTCTTCTCAGAACTCGAGCATTTTTTTAGAACACAGCGTGGATTAACTAATGTTTTCATTAGGAAAAGCAAAGTATATCCTTGTTGACTTTCAGAATGTCCCGTATTGACTTTTTCATCCTGGAAGCGTTTTTCCAGGTTGACAAGATGGGGTCTCTTCCCCACCACGCTCCCTAAATCTGAACCTGACAATTTTTGGAAAAGTCTCCTTTGAAACAAGTTTGACTACTGGGCCAAGAGTTCTAACACTTTTGTAAAAGATGAAGCAACATGTTTCTAACTTTTAACAGGAAAGAACTCTCAGTTCTATGCCAAATGAATGTTCTTTCGTATATAAATGCAGTAAGCACAAGCTGGCAACAGGACCTCCTATCTCCTCTCCAAACTTTCCAAATATAGTAACTGTTTAATCTCCTGCTTCCCTGGGCTTTCTTTTCTTTGTTTTCTTGAAGAGAGATCCTGGTTTCTTTTGAAGTGATTCCAAGTTTGCAATTGGACTCAATACAAATCATCTCATCAAAATAAAGCCACCAACCAGAGACCAGTTTGTAGCTAGATTGCTTGTTTTCTGAAACATTTTGAAGGGCTTCTGAAGCTATCAGTATGATAGATTATCCTGGGATGCAAACCTCTGCATTCAAGTTGTTTTTGTCGACATATTCAAGGGATAAACCAGAGGCTGAAAGAGCTGAGAAACAATAACCTTCTGGCAAGACAAAACTTGTCTTTATACCGATCTTTATAAACAAATGTTTGACTCACCTTGTATATAATAAAAAAAAAATGGCATTGGCCTCTTTGGAACATAAAATTCAGAACAATTTCTCAAATAAGCATCGGTATATGCCCAAGATATCCCAAAATTCCTTATTAGCAAATACAGAAGTTGCAACTCGCAACCTCAAGTAAATGACCCTTAACTATGAAAGTGAGCTTACACTAATATACCACACCAATATATGGAGCCTACAACAATGTACGGTAAGCAGCAGGGCGTGTCCTACTTACAGGTGCCAAAATCCTGAAACAGATCACCTCCACCATTCATGTTCTAAATTTAATCTTTTTCTTCCAAAACTTTTACCTGCCAGAGTATTCTCAAATTACATTTAAATCTAGAAGCATTTAAATATAAAGTACAGCTTTCCACAAAATGATGTGAAGTAGACTTTCAAACATTCAGACATGTCTTTTTCTGGAATAATTTTTTTTATGCAAGACAACGTATCAGCTAGCTACATTCCATAAACCACTTTAGTATGAGTTCTTTTGGACACTGAGGCTTATAAAGTGTGGAAGTTGAGCTTCTCCAGCCCTTAAATTTCTCTGATCTACAGACAGGCAGGATTATGTGTCAGGCATTAATAGTGCTGTTTTCTTTACAATCAGAAACCGAGTTTGCAGTTTATAAATATGATGGAGAGATTTATTTCAAACCTTTGAGCCAAAGTAAATTCTTGAAAGAGGCTTACAGACTAATGAACTTGTCAGCTTGCCTAGGACCGAGAGAAGCTAAACAGGTCAAAGGCATTTTGTAAAAGCAGGCTTAGTTCACCTAGGAACAGCCCCCACCCCCAAATAAAAAGGGTTGGACAAAGCCCCTTATCCACCTGTGAAAATCTGAATACACAATAACAGAACTGAAAGAGACCTTGGAGGTCTTCTAGCCCAACCCCCTGCACAAGCAGGAGCCCAGATACCATTTTAGACAAATGGCTGTCCAGCCTCTTCTTAAAAGCCTCCAGTGTTGGAACACCCACAATTTCTGGGAGCAAGGAGTTCCACTGATTAATTGTTCTCCCTGTCAGGAAATTTCTCCTTAATTCCAGGTTGTTTCTCTTCTTGTTTGGTTCTCGTTCTGCCTTCAGGTGCTTTGGAGAATACGTTGACCCCCCTTCTTCTTTGTGGCAGCCCCTCAAATATTGGAAGACTGCTATCATGTCACCCCTCGTCCTTCTCTTCCTTAGACTAGACATAACCAATTCCTGCAATTGTTTCATTTAATTATTTAAATTAAAATACTGTAAATTTATACTTACTCCCAGTGAACTCTGGGCAGTTTACAAACAATTAATTTGTTTTAAAAATATAAGGAAAGAAAAAAAAGAAAAAGAAAATGTTAGAAATGTCAAACAAAAGTGGAAACTTTGGGGGTTTCAGCCGCCTTTGCCGAAGGCCTAGAGAGTGATTAGAGCAAAACCCTAAATGCCTGAGGCTCGGGGCTGAGAAAAGCCGGCTCAGCAGGAATCCACCTGAGAAAAAAGGCACAACCACCTGCCCAGACCTCCTCCCCACATGCCGCACCTGGTCAAAGACAATACAGGTTGTCCTCGATTTACGACCACAATTGAGCCCAAAATTTCTGCTGCTAAGCAAATTTTGCCCCATTTTATGACCTTTCTCGCCACAGTGGGTAAGTGAATCCTTGCAGTTGGTTGTTAAGTGAATCCAGCTTCCCCATTGACTTGGTTTGTCAGAAGGTCGCAAAAGGGAAGCACGTGACTCTGGGACACTGCGACCGTTGTATGAGTCAGTCTCCAAGCGTCTGAATTTTGATTAAGGGACCCTGAATGGAGGCTGTGAAAGACGGTCACAAGTCACTTTTGTCAGGGCCGTTGTAACTTGGAACGGTCACTGAACGAACGGTTGTAAGTCGAGGAGCCCCTGCACCACTAAGCAGCTCCTCCCCCAGCCCCAAACCCGCCAAGCCTCCCTTGAGGCTTCGCCCCCCAAAGCCCCCCACACACAAGGATAACAACCCAGGCGAGGCTTCCCGTTTGCACCGCTCGGGCATCTCCGCGTGGTCCCCCATCCACCCGCTGCCCTTCAACCCGGCCAAAGGCGAAGGGGCTGACCGGTCCGGCGAGGCCCTCGGCCCGCCCAAAGGGGCTCCCGCTTCGGTCCAGACTCAGGGAGGCCCCTCAGGTGAGGGGCTGCCCCACAGAAGGACCCCCGGCCGCCCACCGCTGCGCTCGCTCACCTGCTAGCCCGCCTCCCCCTTGGTGGTGGCGCCGCCGGTCGGTCTTCAACAGGTGCCGCCGCCGCCGCCGCGCAGGCCGGTCCCGGTGCGGTTCACGAGCAGGAGGAGGAGGACGACGACGCCATTTTGGGAACCGGCCAAGCCGCGGCCGGGCAACATCCGGGGACAAGCGCCTCCCCGTCGCCTGGCGACAGAGTGCCCCGCCCCGCCAGCGGCCGGAAAGAGGAAGGTTCGCTCCCGATTAGGCAACGCCAGGCCGGGGCGCTTTAGCACTCGCCGCTATTGGTCGAGAGGGAGAGGGGCGGGGCAGGAGAGGGCGAATGGCTGGGCGGCGTGCGTTGATGGACGGGAGGCGTTCCCGCGCGCCGTCTGGACTGGGCTGAGTGGGGCGAGGCGGCGCTTCGGGGCATTTTCGCCTCTTTGCCGGGGATTCTGGGAGTGGAAGTCCACAAGTCTTAAATCTGCCACCAAGGTTGGAGACCCCTGGGGTAGCCTGCCGCGGGAGGGGAGGCTCGATCACCGGGCCGGCAGCCGCTCCTGAGCCAAGCCTTCCATGAGCTGCTCCTCGCCCGCTGCGCAGCAAGAACCCGCAGAACGTCCCGGCAATTCCTGGAGGTAAAACGGGGATCTCGTGCCCGGCTCACCCGGCCCGCTGGGCAGCAACGTAGGAGGTTTGGCCTGGCTCCTTTCCGGCCTCTGGATCTCCACGTGGTCTCCCATCCGATGACCAAGTAGGAAACCCACCCAGCTTCATCTCCCAGGCAGGGCTGGCCCAGCACCCCCCCCCCCCCCGCCTGCACCCTTTGGAAGAACCATCAGAACAGGCCGTGCCGAGTGCAGCCACCCTTCACCGGGGAAAAAGCTCTCCCAGGTCCCGCCCCGTGTAATTCTGCAATTCTCCCCCACTGCGAGCCGAGAACGTTTGCAAAGTTTTGCAAGAAGTGCCCATTTGTGTATTTCACTGAGGTTGTGCCCTGCGGCTTCCGCCAATAACCCGTTTCCATTAAGCAGCACAACCAATCGTTTTCCAAATTGCAAATTCCATCCTACTTGGAATGGCAGAAATTTATAAAAATAACCGTCTGAGAAGTCTGGTTTAAAAATAAACGCTTTTTTTCTTGTCTCCTTTTATTTCTGACTTTTATTTCAAGTAATTATTTGCTTAAAAATCACGCTTGTCTTTAATGCTACAGTCAAGATCAGCATCCCATAAATTTGTGGGTACCCATAACCCTTCTTGCCATTGGCTGGTCTGCCATCCTCCAGAGCTTCGGGCTACAATCCCTAATTTGTCTGACAATGATGGGCGTTATGCCAAAAGAATCTCTGGAGAGCAGAGCATGAGAGAAAGCCGTCTTAAAGTCCTTCAGAAAAATTCACAGCAAGTCACTGCACCCTACGCAGTTCTACAAACAAGATCCTTTTAGTTCATTACACGTCACACAGCTGAATCAAGTCCTCAATTCTTAGAGTGTTAAAACAGCTGCCTGGGAGGAAGAGACAGCAAGAAGTGGATTAAAGGAGGAGAGAGATTTGAGATGTGAGCCCCTGCAGGCAGAAAGCCCATTCCCATCCGTCTGAAGTTGGGACAGTTTGCACCAAGGACATGAAAACATTATTCCTCTCTCAAGCTAACTCTAAATTCAGGCTGGGCAGACGGACAAGTACAGGGGGGCATCAGGAGGGCAGCTGCAGCCACATCACTGAAGCTCCTCCTCTTTTTTCTCCATGGGTCAAGGTCTCCATCTTGACTTTTTGATGCCCTCTGTAGCCGGGATCACATTTGGGGTCATGCAAACCACCAGAGAACCCACTGCCAGTTTGCAGTTGAAGCTGCTGGAGCTCAGAAGGTGAAATCCTGGCCAGCTGTCCGGACCAGAAGGTGGCCGCGATGCCTCCTCAGACCTTCCGGCCTGGAGGGTCAGTGCCAGGCCCTGGGGCCATGCCGGTCTTTGATCAGCCAAATCTTATCCACGACCTTCCCATTCTGAAAACCAAAAGCAAAGGGTCAAGCCGGGAGGATCCTCTGGAAAAACGGGTGATCAGGCTAAGTCTGGCTACCATGGAGGAAGGAAGGGGGGAGGGTTCCGGCCACCCTGAAGCATCTCCCCCATGAGGCCTGTGGCTGGAGCGCAGGACCAGCTCAGGTGGAGCAAGGCTGCTTGGCAGCCAGATACCAGGCTCGGGAAATTCACCTCCCAAGCACCCGGGGACGAGCTGTTCCCAACGTGGATGGGAGACGAAGCCAGGCGGAGCAATGGAGAGAATCCAAGACGCAGGGCTGCTGTCCTACCTGGTCATCTGAGACCTGCTCCAACCAGAGGTGGGTCATGTTGACGATCTGCATGCGGGCGTACCCATAATCCTCAATCCGCACAGCACTCCATTCTCGCGGGTCTGGGATGAAGGGGTCCAGCTGCTCCTTGCAACCCTGGGGAGGGGGAGATCAGAGGGCCTGTGGGCTCAGCCACTGAAGGGCCTCCCTCCGCCTCCCCAACCTGGGCTCTCTCCACCCTGTACTTCCAGGTACATGAAGTCCTTGATTTATGACCACAATAGGCAGCTTCCTAGGAAAAGAATTCTGCTCAGAGACGGGCCATTGTTACTTCACATTTAATACTGCCTATCTGCAAACTTACAGCTGATCCAGTGATAATGTGGACGGGAGTGCTGGGATTGGTATAAGGGGCTGCGGTGCTCCCATTGTAAACCTGAAAGAGGAACGAGAAGGAAGGAAAAGAATAAATTGGGATGCTGGGAGCCAACTGCCCCTCCGCTCTACCCAGAGATGGTGGGGTGACTTCTCTGTGTTGGGGGAACCTACGGACTGAGGCTGCTTGGTTACTCTTGCCGCTTTGCAGCTCTCCATCCCCACTGAAGTGGCAGGCAGATAGACAGGCACTGCAGGTTCTAAAATCAGGGGAGCCCCCTCACCCCTCCCAGAGAGCCATTCAGGTGCTCCCCTGACTAGGAAGGCACTAGACCATTCTGACCCCCCACCCCAGACCCCAAAGCTGGACTCACCTTGTAGTTGTAGACGGGCCAGAGCCGTTCGTAGGAATGCTCGTGAGCCCACAGCATCAGATCTACCCCTGGAGAAGGAGAAAGCAGGGGAAGGAAGGGGTGGGGGTGGGGGTCAGGGCAAGAAGGGGAGCCCAAGTGGGCAGGGAGGGGGGGGTGGCAGCCCCCTTTCCTGCTGGTTTCCTCTCAATGCTGGGCAGCAAAGGCAGATCCCTGCTGCCTGCAGAGGGGCCACAAGCTGTCCAGGAAGGACGGGGCTCACATTGTCAAGACAGCAGTTGCAACTGCACAATCAAAGCTTCCCCACTTCTTTTACACGCATTACTGATAGTCCTCCACTTACAAACACAATTGAGCCCAAAATTTCTGTTGTTAAGCGAGACACTTGTTAAATAGTTTTGCCCCATTTTACGACCTTTCTTGCATCAGTTGTTAAGTGAATCGTTGCAGCTGTTAAGTTAGCAGCATGGTCATTAAATGAATCTGGCTTCCCCATTGACTTTGCTTATCAGAAGGTCGCAAAAGGGGATCATGTGACCCCCCCCGGACACTGCAATGGTCATAAGTATGAAGCAGTTGCCCGTTCAGTGTCTGAATTTGGATCATGTGATTGTGGGGATGTGAAAAACGGCCATAAGACACTTTTTTCAGTGCTGTTGTAAGTCTGAGCGGTCACTAAGTGAATTGTCGTAAGTCGAGGACTACCTATATGTGCATTCTCTTGGAGGTATTCCCTGGGCGTTCAGCAGGAGAGTGCAGGGGCTGCCTGGGAGCTTTACCGTATTTGAAGAAAAGATCCTCCAGGCCATAACGGTTTGGCTTCAGTCCTTTGCGAACCTGGAAAGGCCCACAAACCACACTGAGTGCCACCTGCTTACGGCTGCCTAAATCTGCACCCCCTTCGTGGCTGTGCCGGGCATGGGACTCAGCCTCCTTCCGGCTGAAAGAAGCAGCTTCAGAATAACAGAATAACAGAGTTGGAAGGGACCTCAGAGGTCTTCTAGTCCAACCCCCTGCTCAAGCAGGAGACCCAGGGTCAGGGTTGTCCAACCTTGGAACTTCAACTCCCAGAATTCCCCGGCCAGCTATAGAGTTGAAATCCACAAATCTTAACGGTCTCAAGTTGGACAGCCTTAACCTCCTCTATTCCAGAGAAATGGCTGTCCAGTCTCTTCTTGAAAGCCTCCAGTGATGGAGCAGCCGCAACCCCTGAAGACCCAGCTCCTCCTCTGGTTGACTGTTCTCACTGCCAGGAAATTCCTCCCTAGTTCCAGGTTGGCTCTCTTTTCAATCAGTTTCCATTCTACCTTATCATCCAGTTGATCTTATTATATTTACTTCTTTTTATTTTATTCTTTTATAAGTAAGTATCCTAACACTTCCACCTTATCCTCCTGGCTGCAAACATCTGCCTGAAAGGATCAGGGTCAAAGCCCAGATGAGGCTTGGCCACCAGAGACAGGCAGATGTGAGTTGGACAACCATATAAATTTCTTTAATAAAATGAACAAATGTTTCGGCTGCTCCCTATTTTCTCAGGGAAGCCAGGGGCTCAAACCGGCTTCTCCACGGCCTACTTACGATGCTCTCGTACTGGGTGCAGTCATCCTTGTCGTTGTTGGAGCAGTACATGGGCCGATGCCCCATGGTGATGATCCAGGGGCGTTCCCCACGCCGCGCAGGCTGGTTTGCCTCCTGTCCCCAAGAGGAACAAACCAAAGGCTCATATTTGCCTGGCGCAAACTGGCTCTGCCCACCCAAATCCGGATCCAGCCTACCTGGAGGTCCCTCTCCAGCCACTGGAACTGCTTGGCTACCAGCTGCTCCCCGTAGTCCAGGAAGAAATACACCTCCGTGGAGAAGGTAATGAGGTGAGCAGGGCCTACATCCCAGCTGGGAAAGAAGGAAGCAAGACAGGCAGCCACTAAGAGGAGGGGGACAAGTGGAGGAAAAGGAGCCCCTCCCCTAGAAGATGGGGAGACATCTCTATGGAGGCCTCAGAGCCCAGACCCAGCACTCAGATTTGCCCCAAAAGCCATTAGAACCGGAGCGTGAATCTGGTGGAGCAGGGGAGTTGGTGGACCGAGGACAGGGAGAGCCAGAATCTTCAGCTGGAGCCACTCCCTGGGGGGCTTTGGGCCAGGTATTGTGTCTCAGCCTCCCTCACAGGGTAGTTGTGTGTAGGACAAGGAACTGCCAAACTTAAGGGCAGATTAAAAGAGGCACCAGCCTAGAATCTCTACAGAGCCACAAGCACACTAAGTCCAACCTCCCTTGAATTCCATGGACTCTTATCTAAGTCCAGGCAGGTGCTGACCATTAGTTGAGAGGATTCCTGTGCAAAGGCTTTTAGCAATAAAGCAGTTTAACTGGACCTTCATGGGTGAATCTGTCTTTTGGGCTGACATGAATACTACAGCCATTCAAGGCAGGAGCACCTCCAGACCTCTTTTCCATGGAAGGAACTGGAGAAGCTGGGAAAGAAGACAGTCTTGCCTGTCTTGGCTTTGTGCCCCTTGCAGCCCAGGGACGCACCTGTACCAGAGGCTCTCGGTGTCTCCAGGCATGCTGAAGCGGGACCGGTAGTTGGAGAAATTGCTGCAGGAGGGAGGGAGGGAGGGAGGGAGGGAGAAGGCTGAAGGATGGGCAGACGCAAACAGAGTGGCCTTTCCCTTTGTTATGCCATCCAGCAAAACCTGGACGCCAAGGCTATATTCCCCCACCCACCCGGAGAGGGAGTGCCACCCGGGGAGTTACAGCTAGGCGACCAGAACCAGCCCGCAGACAGACTGGCAGAGCCAGGCATCTCTTAAATCTGGCTCAGCCCCACTCACTACTTCTCCTCGTGATTTCCCGGGCAAGTCATATATGGCACAAAGGCAGCCACTGCCTCGATTTTCCGCATGAAGGCATCTCCGACGAGGGCATTATCCTGCAGGGGCAGAACAGACAGAAGTTGGAATTGGGCCAACACCTGGAGGCAGAGTTCTCCCACCCCTCCCGGCACGAGCACACCCGCATGCAGCCCACTTGGATCAGCCTCATGGGGTCCAGCCTTATGACTGAGTTTTCAAGTCATGTGTCTTCCTTTCCAGCCCAGAGATGCTCCAGATGTCTTACCGAGTCCAGGTCGTAGGCAAAATCTCCTGGGGGGGGGGAAAGAAGGTCACCATCAAAGGGTGGGTCAAAGGAAGGGTCCCGGGGAAGATCTGGACGGCCGTTCAGCCTACCTATGTGCAGCACTGCGTCGTACCAGCCCTGCTGAGTCTCCCTCTGCAACCGGGACAAGGACTGGGGGTTCTCCAGGCCCATGTCTCCAAATAGGGCGAATCGGGGGCTCCAGCTGCTGCCGTTCTGCAGTGCTCGGAAGCCATAGCGTTGGCTCCAGCCCCACGGGCTCCCACAGCGATAGACTGCAAGGAGAAAGAAGCAGAGGGAGCTGCAAAAAAGTGATCACATGACCCGGACACAGCAACCATTATAAATGTGAGTCAGTTGCCAAGCCTGAATTTTGATCACGTCACCACAGGGATGCTGCAACACTCATAACTGTGAAAACGGTCATAAGTCACTTTTTTCAGGGCTGTTGTCACTTGGAATGGTCACTACATGAATTGGCACAAGACAAGGACTCCCTGTGTCCCCTCCAACTTCAGATCCCCGTGGCTTCTCTTCGTGGCCGCGTATATGTACCGTGCAGCCACGAGATGCCGCCACAGGGAGAAGAGGGTGTGATCTTTGCAGTGCCCTGCGCAGAACAAGGTGCCCCCAGCCCTTACCGTAGCTCTGTCCCGGCAGAAGGCCCCGGAGGGTCACTCGGTGGATGAACATGGCACGGCCCAGGCTGCCCCCATCCACAAAGCGTGTGGCATTTCCGCTGGCCTTGTGAGGAAGGGCCTTTCCTGGAGCCTGGCCAAAGAGCACAAGGGACTCGGCTGGGTCAAAGGTCGTCCAGGTGACCACCATGGAGGAGGGGTCTCCTGCAGCCAAAGGCCAAGAGAAGGGATCAGTCCCGGAGGGGGAAATGGCCCCATCTTTACGGAAGGCTGCGAAGAAACCCAGGCTAGCAAATGCGGTGGAGGATGAGCCGCTGGCAAAGTCCGGCTTAAAGCGAAGTCAAAGTCAAACCAGGGTTAACGCCCGCTGGGCCTTCAGTCCGCTGTGCCCAGGCTGGCTGCCAGCCCCGGCCTGCCCTTCGGCCCCCCGGCGGTGCGGAGCTGGAGAAGGGGGAGGGGCCGGTGCCCCAAAGCTCACCTGGGTAAGACAGATGCACCTGCTCCGGCTGGGCGGGCCGCGGCCCCTGGACCCGCAGCCGGGGCAGCCACAGCCACAGGCAGAAGCCCAGCAGCCTCGCCCCGCGGCCCATGCCCATGCCCCCGCCGAAGCCCCGCAGCCCGAGCCGGGCCGCCCGGCGGGTCACAAGACACGGCGTTGCAATCCGGCCGCCGCCGCCGCCTCCACTTCCCGGCTGAGTCCCAGGGCCCCGCCCCGCCCCCGCAGGCCCCGCCCCCAGCCCAGCATTCGGGGCGCGAACCACCGAGCAGCCCCGCCCTCGCAGGCCCTTTCCGGGAGGGGCACAGGGACCCGGCGGAATCCGAAAAACAGCGCCTCCTCGCCCCGCCCGCCCGCCGGCTGTCATCAAGGGAGAAGCCCGGACGCATCGGCCAGGCCGCCCAATCGCATCGCCGGTTCGCCGACGGTGGCCCGGAGGACGCGACGGGGCGGGAGGGGCGGGGGCTGCGGGACGGCGATGGGCGCCGCGGCGGCCAAGGAGGCGGGCGGGGCCGGTGGGAGCCTCCCCGGGGCGCCCCCTCCGGACTGGCCGCGCCTGCCCAACGAAGTGCTGGCGCTGATCCTGAGCTGGCTGCCGCCCGAGACGCTGGCCACGCGCTGCCGGCTGGTCTGCCGCCGCTGGAGGGAGCTGCTGGACGGCCCCGCCGTCTGGAAGCTGCAGTGGCGGAGGGAGCCCGCCATGCGCGCCGCCCTCGAGGCCGCCGGCCGCTGTGCCCGCCTGCGCTGGAGCCGCCTGGCCGTCCGGCGCCCGCTGGGCCGGAACCTCGTCCGAAACCCCTGCGGGACAGGTAGGCGCTCCGAGGAGGCGGCGGAGACTTCCCCGGATGCCTGGCTTTGCCCGCGGGGCCGTCGGGATCCCTTTGGGGCCTCCTCGCGGGCGGCGGGTCCCCGTGCTCAAAGGCTGACTAAGCCTCGCTCCTAAAGCCACGGGAGCCTGCTAGGAAGCGAGCGGCAAGGACGTCTCAAGCCGTGCTCAAGGCCTGGCTCTCTGCCTGCAGACCACTTCCAGCATTGGACGGTCCAAATTCCTGGGTGGAATGACGGGTGGAACGTGGAAGAGAGCAGGGCCCGGCTGGAAGGCGCGGAGGCCCAGACCTGCTTTGCCTCCTCCTTTGGGTGAGTTCCATGGTTCTCCTTTCCTGGGTCACTTGGGGAGAATCCTTTAGAGGTTTTCCCATCCCTATGAACATCGTCCTCTGCTACAGGTAATCCTCGACTTACAGCCACAAGGGAGCCCAAAATTTCTGTTGCTAAGCCAGACGGTTGTTAATTGAGTTTTGCCTTATTTTGCAACTTTTCTTGTACAGTTGTTAAGTGAATCACATGTTCATTAAGCAAATCTGGCTTCCCCATTGGTTTAGCTTGTCAGAAGGTTGCAAAAGATGAGCACATGATGCTGAGACCATCATAAATATGACTCCGTTGCCAAGCATCTGAATTTTGATCACATGTCTATGGGAATGCTGCAATGGTTGCGTGAAAACTGGTCATAGTGCCGTTGTAATTTTGGATGGCCACTAAAAGAATCCTCCTAGTTTACGACCCTGTAATCCCTTGTATCGGGGTGGAGTGAGGGCGACTGGATGGAGCTTGGCATTTACTGGCCGGATTCCCTTCCTGATGCCTACAACAATTTAGCCGCAGATGTTTCTCTTCTGGGATGCAAAGAAAAAAAATATCTGCCGCTACCTAGGATTGAACTCTTACCTTTCAAGTGGGAGGCGAGCGTCTTCACCATTAGGCCACCACACTAAACGAACTGCTGTAAGTCGAGGACTACCTGTATTTCAGGGCTTTGGTTGTTGGGTGAACTCTGGCTCCAGGTCGGAACGGCCCTTTCGCCTCTGCCTGTCTTTATTTTATTAGATGTTTATTGTCATAATGTTATTCTCCGCCCGTTTCTCCAAAGGTGGTGTCAGAAGGAGCAGATGATCGATTTGCTGAAGGAGGGTTTCTGGCGGGATCTGCTGGACACTTACCAGCCTGATATCGTGGTCTCTGACTGGTGAGTGAGGCTCTCCTCGCTCCTTGGGTGACCAAGGCCATCAGTACGTGTGGTCAGAGAGACTGTCCAAAGCCTGGTCAGGCCACTTTTGTGGACACTGAACACCCACAGGAAGGTTTCAGTGCTTCAGGTTCTCCAGGGAGACCTTTCCAGCGTCCTGTTGTGACTGAAGCTCTGCCCTTGGATCCTTGCAGGTGGGGTGGCCGTCAGGACTGCGGCTGTGAATACGAGCTCTATGTTGTCCTCTTGGCAGCTAATAAAAAAAGGAAGATTGATGTTTTTGAAGCCAAACCAGATCCCATCCCTCAGTGGAATGACGCCTCGTACCAAAAGGTGCTGCTTGCCACACCGGCCCAGGCCTCTCTTGCTTGGTTGCTGGATTTCTCTTTCTCTTTCTCTGGTTCTCTTTTTCACTTCCTCTTTCCCTCCCTCCCTCCTACGCACATTTCACTAAATTCAGGGAATTAAAGTGCCTTAAAAATAAAATAACCAGGAAAGAACATAGAATTTGTATCTAGGGGTTGTACAAATAGGTGAGATTTTTTTAAAAAAAATCCATAGCAACATTAGCGTAGAATTAATTAAAATGTATTATACTACAGGTAGTCCTCGAAATACAGCTATTTGTTTAATAATTGAAGTTACAACAGTGCTGAAAATGATTTATGACCATTTTTCACACTTATGACAGTTGCAGCATCCTCACAGTCATGTAGGCATTTGGTAACTAGTATGTAATTTTGACAGTTTTTGCCCTGTTCCAGGGTTATGCAATAACGAGCAAAGTCAATGGGGGAACTCACATTTACTTAATGACTGCATGACTCACTTAAGAACCGCCTCACTTGGCAACAAAAAATTTGGGCTCAATTGTGGTCGTACATTGAGGACTAACCACACCTTAAAGGTGCTCAGAATCTCAAACTGCGTGTTTTTGGATGGGGGCCAAGAGTGCTTTAAGGTGATCTGGTAGCAAGTTCGCAGGTACTCCAGTTTTCAGAAAGGCAGCACCCCAAAGTGCAAGTAGCTGGGTGAGATCATGTTAAATACACTTTTCTAAACAATGGCAATAACATAATAAATAGTAATAATACTTTGACTTATATCCCGCTTCACAGTGCTTTACAGCCGACTCTAAGCGGTTTACAGAGTCAGCCTCTTGCCCCCAACAATCTGGGTCCTCATTTGACCCACCTCGGAAGGATGGAGGGCCGAGTCAACCTTGCACACTGTCAGGATCAAACCGCTGGCAGTGGGCAGAGTTTGCCTGCAGTGCTGCATTCTAACCAGTGCACTACCACAGCTCCTGGTATAAATGATAATAAAATTGTAAATAGTAAAATTTTCTAAATAACGGCAATAAATCAATCATAAATAAATGAAGAACCTTCTGTTCCCTAAAACTCTTTTCCAGAGTCCGCAAAACGGCTGAGCCTCTGTTGCTTTGTCTCTCCAGGTAACCCACACATTCAGAAGATACGGCCCCGGAGTCCGCTACATACTTTTTAGACACAGAGGGAAAGACACGCAGTTCTGGGCAGGACACTATGGTGCCCGGGTGACAAACTCTTCTGTCATCATCCGCTTTTCCTCGGAGTCTGCAGAATCCCTGGAGCCTGAGCTGTCTTCCCAGCACCCCAGCCCCGTTTTGCCTCCAAAATCGCATTTCTGAACTGGCGAAAAATGAGTAAGAGGAATCCCAGGCATATTCCGTCCCTAACTTTAAAATGCAGGTAGCCCTTGGCTTACCACTGTTTAGTGACCAAATTTACAACGGCACTGAAAAAGATGACCTCAGACCAATTTCCATAGTGATGAGCATTGCAGGATCCCCACGGTCGGCTGATCAAAATTCACATGGCTCAGCAAATGGTTCATATTTCTGACGGTTGCAGTGTCCCGGAATCAAGTGTTTATCTTTTGTGACCTCCTGACCAACAAAGCCAGATTCACTTAACAACGGTGTTACTGATTTAAAAACTGGAGTGATTCACTTAATAAATGTGGCAAGAAATGTCGTAAAATGGGGCAAAACTCACTAAACACGTTTCTCACTTAGCAACGACGTTTTGCCTGAACTGTAGTTGTAAGGGGAGGACTATCTTTAAGCCACAGGTGTCAAACTCAATCGCGTCATGTGACGTATCGCGACCTTCTTTGCCTTTGGGGAGCTGGGGTGGGCGTGGCCTGTGCATGATGCATCTGGCGTGTAGGCCGCCAGTTCGACACCCCGGAAAGTTGTCAACCGTTCTGTCATTAATGCAGTATACTTTATATATTGTGCTGGTTGAGGAATTCTGGGAGTTGAAGTCCAGAAATCTTAAAAGTTGCGAAGGTTGGAGACCCCGGTTCTACTTCCTCTCAGTGGTGGTTGTCCGTAGTTATCAAAGCAAAAGATACTACATCAATATGTTTTCGTTTCAAGCAGGGGGAGAAATGTGCCCCTTCCTCCCTCCCTTCACCCCATGCAGGATTAATTGTATCCTTGAGAAAAATGTTATTCTGAAAAATGGTACCAAATATACTTGTGAATGAGTGGAGAATTTTAAATGCCTGAATACATCTCCCAAATTTCTTTGGCTTGTCCATGAGACTATACGGAAATATAAATATTTGTGTACCCTGCATGTACTTGTGGATAAGCTGACCCTTGAATTTTTAATCAAAATAGCATGAAAAATGGATAATCCCTGGATTACCTATGGATAAGCCAATTATGAAAATTAAATACGAATATTTTAAGGGTCAGCTTATCTGCAGGTGGTGCATTTTTTATTGTATTTTGATTTTTGAGGGTCAGCTGATGCGCTGGTTTTAACTGCAACTGTATGGTATATTCACTATTTAAGAAATAATGTCGACCTCCTTAAAAAGCTTTGAAAGCTCCAGTCAATTCCCGCAGGCACGCATATGCGCACGCACACCCTGTCAGGACTGCCATGCTTCGCCAGATGCCAGTCTGCCATAAGCAAAGGGGGGAGGGAGCTGCAGGAAGGGGGAGGGTAACGGGAATTGTAACTCCTCTTCTGCCCTCTTGTGGGAGCTGCTGGCCGTTCCAAGCTCATGGAAGGGGATAGGAGACCATCCAGCCTGCCAAACCCAGGGACTTCTACCAAAACAATTGGTTTGGATGTAATCGGACAGTTTAAGATAACCAGGAGGACGGTGGGCAGAAGGGAAAATTAACCAGATGCTTTGGGTGCAAAACTTCAGATCCGGCTTTGCTTCTCTGTAACAACTGGGCTTTAGTAAAGTGCACTTTCCTTTACAACAGATTTGAGAGTCTGTCTTTTCTAACTGACCCAAGTTGGGAGGGCTCACACACACACACACACACACACACCATTCCCCAATGTAGTTGTGCAAGGAATTGCACTAAGAATTGTAGGCTATAACCAGTTCTGCACTTAATGTCTATGGAGGAAAAGAAAAAACCCTCAGCCTGCATTGGGTCCAGAGGTTGAGGGTGGGGTTCAGGAGGTTTTGGCCCCCATTGTGAGGTGGAGGCTGCCTTGGAGACCCCACAACCTTTTCTGCAGGGACCTCTCAGGAGATCTTGAAGGGGCAGGAGGAGGTGGGTTGGGAGGACCCTCTGGGGCAACCAAAAACCAACGGGCCCAGAGAGAGGGCAGCCTCCGTGCTCCAGACTTGAGCCATAATGGATCCCTCAGAAGAAGACGGGGCCAACGATGAACAGCCAGAGGCGGCCGTGTCTCTCAAAGCTTGTTTCAGCCAAGGTGGGTCTTGGGTTGCCGATCTCAGCTCTGGGGGTAGGGAGTGACCAGGGAGCAGCCAAGAGGAGCCATGGACCTTGTTGCCATTCCGATGCCCTTCTCCCTGAGGTCATCCTTAAACTTGCCAAACAGCAGGGACAGAAGGGGGTCAGGCTGAACCCCTCTCCCCACCTGGGAGCTCCTCCTCTCATCCTGCCTTTCCCCCTTTCCTTCCACTTCCCGAGGCCTAGCAGCCCCCTGCCCCAACGGCTGGAAATCCTGCTGAATTTCCTACAAACAGAGAAAAAGGAGAGCAAAGGTTCAGAGCACCTGTTTTGTCACAAGCTCCTCTTCCTCCCCCGTGGAAGAAAGATATTCTTGCCCTCCTTTCCCCCCCCCCCCCGCCCAGGTCTGAAGCATCTGCATCACCGGCCGGAACTCTGCGATGCCACTTTGATCGCCGGAGGGAAGAGGTTCCCTTGCAACAGGTGTGTCTTGGCATCCTCAGCTGGGCAGGGCTTGGGACAGGATGCCCACCACTAAACGCACCCTCTCTGCTCCCCACGCAGGGCCCTCTTGGCCTCCATCAGCCCCTACTTCCAGGCTGTCTTCACAAGCGGCTTCAAGGAGTCCCAGGATGGGGAGGTCCTTCTGGAGGACATGGACCCCTCCGTCCTCCAGAATCTCTTGGGCTACCTCTACTCGGGGGAGCTGGCTTTCAGTCCCGGAAGCGCGGAGGACCTCTTCATCGCAGCCAGCCGGCTCCAGCTCAGCCCAGCGCTGACGCTCATCAGCAGGTAGCCCAGACTGTCCTGATCTTCGATCTTCTCCCAGCTTCTGCTTTTTGGCGGGGGGAAGGGGTTTCTCCTGCTAACTGCTCCAGTGACCTTTCCTTCCATTCTCCATCCCAACAGATTCCTGACAGAGAGGATTTCCCCGGAGAACTGCCTTCGCCTTTACATGCTGGGCCACGATCACAACCACCCCGCCCTGCTGCATGGGGCTCTGCGCTACCTGGCCCTCCACTTTGGCCTCCTCTTTGAACACCAGGACTTCCCGCAGCTCGACCTGAGGGCCCTGACCTGCATCCTCTCCTCGGACCACCTGGTGGTGGCCTCAGAGATGGAGGTCTTCTGGGCCGCGCAGCGGTGGGTGAGGGCTGAGCCCAGCAAGCGCCTTCCGGAGCTGAAGATGCTGCTCGGGTGCGTTCGCTTCCCCCTCCTGTCTCAGGAGGAGGTTGCCCAGGTGCAGGCGGAGGCAGAGCGGCTGGGTCAGCAGCTGGAGGTCCGGTGGCAGGACCTGGATGGGGCAGGGAGGCTGCAGGTGAACGGGGGGCTCCGCCGGGGCATGTACCAGGAGAAGATCGTCTGCATCAAAGTGCCCCGTTTGAGGGACATCCTCTCGGTCAGTGAAGACATGGACTGCTACATGGAGTGCCTGAATCCAACCAGCGGATCCAGGACGAAGCTGCCAGCCTTGGAACTGGTGGCCCTCCCCGGCTGCTCCGTGCTGGACCAGAGGCTCTACATCTCCGGAGGGAAACACGCCGATGGCTCCTATTCCTCTGCGCTGCACGAGTACAACTCTCTGGCCGACCGCTGGACCCAGCTCCCCGCCATGTCAACGCCCCGCTCCGTCCACATGTTCTTAACCTGCAAGCAGAAGCTTTTCGCCCTGAGCGGCTGGAACGATGCCGGCCCCCTGGCCTCAGCCGAGAGCTTTGATGTGGCCCAGCAGCTGTGGGCCTCCATCGCTAGCCTGCCCATCGTCCTGCGCTTCTCTGCCTCCGCGCCATACAAAAACAAGCTCTACTTAATAGGTGGTGACGCTGACTCCGATGAAGTGGTCTACAAGGGCCTCCTTATCTACGACACCCACCTGGATACCTGGGCGCAGGTGCCACTCGAGTTTAGTCTCCACGGGGCAGCTGCTGTCACCATAGAGGCCGGGATCTGTGTCATCGGGGGTTTCTTTTCCAGGAAGGTCACCCAACCGTACCCCAACCGGAGGTTCAGTCAACTTCTTCCCTGCACCTCGAAGTGTTTCTTCATGCAGGAAGATGGTATCATAAGCAGAGAGGTGGCCATTCCTTCCCTGCCCTTGCCCCTTGCCTTTGCTGGTGCCACTTCCTTCCAAGGGAGGATTTATGTGATTGGTGGCGTCTGCACCTCCAGAACCCACGATGCCATCTACCACTGGCAACCCGGTGAAGCCGCCTGGACCCAGTACCCAGAGAACCTCACCAGCCAAGGAACGATTGTGCGCAGGGTGCTCAAGTGTGTGACCCTGAAGGTGCCAATACCCAAGCTGAGGGCCCTCGCGCAAGAGACCTCGGCAAGCCGGGTGGCTGTGGGGATAGCAGACCCCCAGCTCTCCTTGGAGAAGAGTGAAAAGGAGCAGCCTCCTCCTCCTCCTGACCTGGCTCCACGGAGACCCTCAACCGGTGGGGAGTTGTAGAAGCCGAAGACTGCCCCCCCCCCACCCCAGAAGAGCTATTTTCAAGTGAACTCCTTTAGTATTGAACTCATTAAAAATCCATGTGGCCTCTCCATCCCCTCACATTCGGTTTCCTGCCTAAAAGGGAACCTGCAGGGCTGCCAGGAGAGCTTCCTGCACAGGCATCCTTTCAGTGGTGGGATTCAAGTGATTTAACCACCGGTTCTCTGCCCTAATGATTTCTTCTAACAACCACTTTGCCAAACGGCTCAGAAAGTTAACAACCGGTTCTCCCGAAGTGGTGCGAACTGGCTGAATCCCACCACTGCATCCTTTCCAAGGAGGGTGAGAAGCTGGCTCTGCCCGGGGGGAGGGACCCACTGGGAACTTAGAACCTCTCTCCATTCCAAGGGCAGGGGGGATCACAAAGGCAGGCTCTGGCAGTCAACCTTGAGGATCAAAGCACCACCAGTCCCCTGGAAAGCAGGCAGAAGCAGCTCTGGGAATAGAGAAGCCAATCCCGGCTCAGCTGGGGTTTAAGCCGCCTGCTTTGGAAGCAGGGAGAATCTAGGCTGCTGCAGCGGGATAGGGGGTGGGGTGTCAGCTGAACCGCCATTGCTCAAGGGAAGAGCAGCGGCCTGGAAGGGGAGCCGGACTCCTCAGTCTTTGATGGCCATGAAATATTTATCCCCTCCACATCTGTTTCGGGGGCAGCCGGGGAGAAACGCAAGGGAAGCACTTCAGCGCTGTCATGCCAACCACGCCTAACTGTTGCAAGACGACAGAGAAATAAAAATAGAAGTGCATCATTCCCTTGAAAAAGGGCTAAGCTGCCCGATTGATTAGTTGTCCTGCCTGCAATGTCCTCTTATGTCATTCCTATAAATCCCCCGACTGGTATTCGGCTCACATATTTAGGAACATCTGCACTCGTTATGAGGGCAGCGTTGCCCTTCCTCTCTGTCGCTCTGGGCTCCTGCTATCATCACTGCTTCCAAAATGCCAGCCAGGAACATGGAGGGCCCCTTGTGTGCTTAGTGCATTTAAATGCATTTTTTTGCAGCAGATCAATACAGTGTTAGAAGTACCTCCAGGGACCAAACCAGGAGGAACAGACTGACCCCTGCCTGGAGTAAGGCAAAGGTTCTCAATGGTGAGCACTCTGCACATGCTCGGAAAGGCTTGAGCACCCCTGGATTGGCTTCAGAATGTTGCCTCATGGGGTTCAGGCAGCAGATTGGGGAGCAGGGAGAGAATTGGAAGAGACTGAGAATGGAAGGAAGGGGAAGGGAAGGGAAGAAGGGGAAAGAAAGAGAAGGGTAGAAGGAAGGAGGGAGGGTAAATGGTTTGGGTTGAGAAGGGCAGGAAGGAACGAGGATACTGGGCAGCAAACGGAATGAAACTTTGAGGAAGGGAGGAGGGAAAGAGAGAGGGAAGGAGCTCGAATGGAGGAGAGGAGGAAGTCTGGGACGCAGAGAGAGGGAGCCGATCCGGAGCCTGGAAGGACCGAAGTTGCAAGTCAGTCTCGCGCGGTCGAGGTGGGGCGAGGACTCTGCAGATTTGGGCGGGGGAGGGGGGCCCTCGAGCGCAGGGAAGCGGCGAGGGGTGAAGATGGGGAAGGGAAGCAGGAGGAGCTCCGCGGCTGGTGGGTGGGGCTCGGAAGGAGCCGAAGGTAGGGCTGCCCTGTGCCGGCGGGTCGGCGGGTGGGCGCTCGGCTGGTTGGACGGGGACGCGCGAAGAGGGGAGCCCAGCCGGGGGGTCTTGGCCGGAGTTTCGGCATCCCCGGCCAGCAGGATGCAGGAGAGAGGTGGGTTGCCATAGCAACGGGAGGGTGGGCGGGAGAGCAGCCGGGGGTGGACGGGGGGGGGGCCCGGGCGTGGGGGGCGCGGGGCCGGCATGGCCGAGGGGATCCCCGCCTGCGAGCCCCTCTACGACCCCTCCTTGCTGCTGCAGTTCTGCAACGGTGAGTGGAAGCGCCGCTGCAGCCCCAGTTCCGCAGTCAGCCGCCCGGCCGCCCCGGGTTCCCTGGGGAGGGGCCCCGCCCGGGCAGAAGAGCCCCCACCACGAGGTGCGCGCATCGGGCGGGGGTCTTCGCAGCCTGGCCGAGGCGGGCAAAGCGCGGACAGGGGGACTGGGGGAGGCAGCGGGGAATCCGGGGCAAAGGCTGCCCAGCGCCCGGAAAAGCGCGGTCGCCCGTCCCGCCGCAGGCAGGTGGGGAGCCTCGCCCTGCCGCCCCGGCTCCTTCCGACCCCCTCCCAGGTTTTCGGAAAGGCCCAGAGGGGCGGGGGTCGACCCATCATAGCGGCCGCAACGGCCGTGCACAGAATTCCGAGTTGCCCCAGGGAAGATCCGCGGGCCGGGAGGGGCAGGAGGGTGACCCCCCTCCCCCTGCGACCACCTGCCTTTTCTGCATGCTCAGAGGGCGTTTGCTTTTCCCCCACGTGCCAAGCAGGTTTAGGATGGCGTCAGCCTCCAGGGATTATTGAGGGGCACTTGGGGATAAACCCAGCCCCCTCCTCACAGCCCTGGGAGGTAGGCCAGCCGGCAAAGGGTCCAGGCCCAGACCAGGAGATAATCCTAACCCAGGAGAGCTGCCCTCCTGCCATCACTTGGAGACCCCCTCCATTAACACCCCCCCCTCCACAGAAGCATCTCTGGCCAACAGCTGCCTCTTCCACCCGTCCATCCCATGGCTGGTACTCTGCCTGGCTGCAGGACCAGCCTCTGATTGGATGTGGAGGTGGCAGCAGGGAAGGGATGCTGAGAGCAGGCGGAGGGAGGGGCCAGCAGTGCCAGGCGAGTGGCAGCAACGGGCAGGCGGGATGGGCACAGGGCCCACCACTGCAGAAGAGATGGAGGAAGAGGAGGGCTGCGGATGAAGGCTGCTGGTCCTGCCGTTGATTTGTGCTCCCCTCCGGGGGTGGAGTTGGCAACACACCTGTGGGTGGGCAGGTGGGCACAAGCCAGTCATGGGCAGCTCCGGGTGGGACTCCTCCCTGCTGTGGAAGCACTAGTGAGTGAAGGAGGCGGCAGGTGGGCCAAGCACCACTCCGGGGCTGCTTCCAACATGAAAACCACGTGGGCAGGGAAGCCCCCTCCCCTCCCCATGGCCCCTGCTTCCCTTCCCTTCGCCAATAAGGCCATACTCAGCTGGAGGGGGGGGGTTGACCTGGCCATCGATCCGTGAATGAATGACCCTGGCAGGCCTTGCACATGGCTGGACACAAACAATGTGATGGACATTCAAATTCTTTAGCATGGAGGCCTCAGCCTGGCTTGGCTAAAATCTCTGAGGAGAAAGACTCTTGCTGTTCTTCCGGAGGGCGGCTGGGGAGGAGGACCCATTGCCCCCCACCCCCACCCCGAGGGGGGCCTGGAGCTCTCAAGGGGAGGTGGGGAAATGAAAGAGTTGCTCCTGGAGGCTCCTTGCTCCTTCTGGCCTTTGCTTCCCCAGATGACAACCTGTCCGGCCTCAGCAGCATGGAGGTGGACGACCGCATCTCCTACCTGGAGCAGCGCCTGCAGCTGCAGGAGGATGAGATCCAGGTGCTGAAGGCGGCCCTGGCCGACGTCTTGCGGCGCCTGAGCACCTGCGAGGAGAACGGGCTCAACCTCTCCAAGCGCAGACCTGACAAAGGTATCCGGATGGGGGAGGGGCTGCGGGACGGGCCCCTGCAAGTCCCAGAGTGTCCAGTGGTCCGGCCCCAATGGAGTGCACGGCAACCAGGATTAGGGGAGGGGACTTAACTGGGGGCAAGAGACCAGGGAAGCAGGGGTCGCGGAGCCCAGTCCCCACCTGACCCCCAGCCCTGTCCTGTCTCTCCTGCAGTTTACCAGCTGCTGCGGGGGCTGCCCTCCAGGCCCACCCTGAGCAATGGGGCCGTCCCACACAGGAGAGGCTACGCCACCTCCCCCTCGTCCCCCAAGAGGGAACTCCTTCCTGGAAAAAGGTGATGCGCTGGTCCACCAGGGGGCGCTGCCCCTTTTAGGAAGGGGGGGAGGGAGCATGAAATTGCCTCCACAGGTTTCAGGATGACGGTTACGGTTGCATTCTAGATGCATTGTGGCCTTTTGCACCTTCTAGTATCAGGCAGAAATTGAAAATCTCTTCTTAGGGCTAAGAGTTGAAATGATAAAAGTTTTTCAACGTTTTTTTCAGTTTTGGAAAGCATTCTGAAGGGTCTCAATTCCCCCCAAGAACTGACATGCACAGAAATACAATCCATGCAGAATCGGGACTTCCTGTATTACTTACTGATGTTGTTGAATTGCAAGTTGCCAAATGCAATATTGCTGCCCTCAATATGCACAAATGTTCTAATTCCTCTAGTCCCCCCATCGCAGACAGTGCAGGGAGTCCTTGACATACGATCACAATTGACCCCAAAATATCTGTTGCTAAGCGAGACAGCGGTTATGTGAGTTTTGCCCCGTTCTACAACCTTTTTTACCACAGCTGTTAAGTGAATCACTGCAGTTTTTAAGTTAGTCACCCGGTTGTTAAGTGAATCGGGCTTCCTCCATTGACTTTGCTTGTCAGAAGGTCACAAAAGTGGATCGATCACATGACCCAGGACACTATGACCGTCATAAATATGAGTCAGTTGCCAAGCTTCTGAATTTTGTTCACGTGACCACAGAGAAGTTGCAACGGTGGAAAACGGCCATGGACCGTTTTTTTCAGTGCCATTGTAACTTCAAAGGTCACTAGATGAACTGCTGCGGATTACCTCTCTTCTTTAAGAAGGAGTCCAGGAAAGAGGCCTTGTGGTTCGCAAACGGAGCTTAGGTTTCCCAGGCAGGTGAGGCAGGCTAAGGAAAATTCCTTCTCCGATTTGAAGAGGTTGAAGTCTTCTATGGGAGTACGGGCAGCAGGCTTGCACAAAGCCCCCGGGAAGTCAGAAAAAGCCAGAGTCACGCGGGCGTCTCGCCCAACCTGGCTGTACCTTAGAGACAGCCTGATGCATTTCCATCTCTGGCTCCAACAGCAGCCACTCTGACCCTGGGGATGCGCAGAGGACAAACAAGCATTCCTCCTCAGGAGCAGTCTGGCATTTTCACCCTCGGTGGGTGAGAAAATGTAGCCGTTGCTTTCCTTGAAAACGTAGACAGGATGGAGAGAGTGATGTGCTTCTAGCTCCTTGCACTTCTGCTCATTCTGAAGGAACTGTACAAACCGTAGAGCAAACACTCAAGATGCTAGTTCTCAAGGTCCACCTGAATGAAACCGCCTGCATTTAGTCAGTGAAAGAGCCTCTTCCCCTTGCAGTTTTTCCTAATGGTGGGAAGGGGGGCTCAGCCAGACAGTTGCCTAAAAACTACGGTCCCCAAAGGCCCCCAAAGTCGTCTCAAGAGTTAGAATTCAGAGGCATTCTTTTGAACGGGACTCGTTTCAAATGTTTTCTTAATTGAAATGGCCTCTTATGGTTAGGAAGGATGTCTGTTTAGTTCTGGAGGAAGATGCTGTACTTCCTGGAAGGACAAAGCAGAGTTCCCAACCTTGGCCCTTTTAAGATGGGTGGACTTCAACTCCCAGAATTCCCCAGCCAGCTTTGAATTCTGGGAGTGGAAGTCCAACCCATCTTAAAGGGTCCAAGGTTGGAAACTGCACTAAGAGACGCAATAAAACGAGTAATTTAAAGAATTACATTTTATATTGGCCACCTCCGGTGGCTCTGATTAGATTTTGGGATAAGCCGGGTTTCTTTTCAGGATGGGGGAGTAGCAAATCATACAATCATACATTTACCTCTTCATACCATACGTGGTAGAGTGGGGTGGGGAGGGGAATAGCAAACCGTCCCTCCAGGGTGGTTAGTGACTCAGGGGCTGCCTCTTGACTCTCCATGGGATGATGACATGGCTCCTGACCCCCATTTCACCCCTTGCCGCCGCTCTCTGCTTCCTGTGCCGCCCTCCCCCCACCTGCTTCTGCTGTGATGCTCACTTCTCCAGGGGGCCACAGAGGGGCCCAGTAGCCGGGGAGCCTTCCCCCATCTCTGTTAGCGCCCAGGGCCTGCGTGAGGCTGAGTCCCCAAAGGGCAGCGGGTGAACGCCGAAGGCACTCTTTAAGTTGGGGGGCAGGGAAGCCTTTGTCTTTGCTTGACTGGCCTGAGTCAACCAGACTGATCAGCTCCCCCTCCCCAGGCCTCAGCCGTGTTTCCCAGGGCATTGTCCTTACCCCTGCTTCCAGCCCCCAAGAGAAACGGGGTGTCTGCGGTCCTCTTCCGCAATAGGCTTGGAGCAAAGGGGCTCCCTGGCCTGGGGGAGGAAAGGGAGCAGCCCTTGGTGGCTTGAGCCCTTGCAGCCAAAAATAGCCCTGTGGAACCTTCGTCTTCCAGCCCTCCAAGTGCAAGAGGGCCAGGCCCCCAAGCGAAGGGCCCCACCCCTCTCTCCCGCCTTGCTGCTTCTGCCTTTGGCTGCTTCGGCTGCTGCTGGGAACCCTTCACGGCCTCTTCTGCAGATCCGGCCTCTATTCGGAAGGAGCTTTTCTTTCTTGTGTGCCGCTTCCGCCTTCCGGCCTTTCTTCCTGCATCTGCTCCCGCCTGGCTTTCTCTTCTCCATCGCCCATTCCCCAGCTGGCTCACTCACCCCGCTGCCCCCCCCGCCCGCGCCTTGTCTGGCTCTCTCGCTCAGGCTCTCTCTCCTACAGCGGGCATAGTAGCTGCCCCTCGCCGGAGCGCCCCGCCTCGCTCAAGCGCGAGAGTTTCAAGGACCAGAGGAGCCGCACCACTTCCTCCAGCAGCTCCTGCAGCGGCAAGCGCGAAGGGTATGTCTGAACTGGCCACCCGGGCAGATGCCCACACCAAGCCCCCACTGCGAGCCTGCCACCATCGCCATCACCCCCCTGCTGCCACACCAAGGTGGAACCAATGTGCCATGCAGAGAAGAGTAACAGCATCGGGCTGTTTGGACTCTGCCAAGTCCGTTTGATCTGAGGGGTCCTTGCGCTCTCTGAGCTTGGTGGTTTCCTTGCAGACGTTTCTTGACCCAAACTATTAATATCATCAGTGCTAAGTTAAACCCCACTCCCTTCTAGTACTGATTACGTTATTTATTTGGGTCATGAAATGTCTGCAAGAAAACACCCCGCTCAGAGAGCAGCAAGGACCCCTCAATTCAACCCTGAATTACAAATATTCTCCTTTCCTTGTCCATTTAATCTGCCCACTCTGCAGGGCAGCCGAAATCTTGCCAAGGAGACCCTCCTTTAGCCAACTGAGGTCAAGAAGAGTTATCTGCAGCCGTGCCACCTGGCCACAATGCAGGCCAGGAAAGTATGCAGAAAATTAGGGAAGCCGAAAGAGAGCAGCAGAAAAACGATCCCTCTCTCGTGTAGACGGTCTCCCTGCAAGAGATGGGGCCCCACCACGCAGCCGCTCCATTCACCCACCCGTGCAGCGAATCTGGCCGATGTTAGGGACCCCCCCCCCATTCCTCCAGGGGAAATCCCTCCATTACTGGCTGAGGGCAGCCTGGGGAGATCCTGCGGGTGACCTCTAAGCCCTCTGGCCATTCTGGGGCCGCTTCTCCCGCCTGCTCGTTTTCGGGCGAAACGAAGGTCCCGGGACGCCTGCCTGTCGGGGGCTGGCAAAGCCTTCAGGCGGGGCCCCGGGCGCTCCAGTGCTCAGCCGGGCTTTGCTTGGACGCAGGCCAGGCTCCCTGGGTCCCTTCGGCAGCTCGGCCGGGTGGAGGATCCGGGGGAGGACGGCTGCTGGGCCCCGCCGGGACACTCCTTTCCCGGCAGCAGCGCCCCGCGAGGCCCCGGGCGGAGCCGCCCCGCCCGCCCGCGCCTCGCCTCGCCGGAGCGCCGCCTGCCCGCCGCAGCCAGAGCGGAGCGCCCAGCATGCGGAAGGCGGCCCGGACCGAGAGCCCCAGGTAGGGCAGGGCGGCCTCCAGTCCGGGCGCGGGTCGCCCAGCGCTGCCGCTCCCCAAGAGCCCCGCACCCGGCCCAGGAGAGCCCGCGCGGCGGGGCGCTCGCCTTCCGGGGGGGCGGCAGGAGGGCCGGCGGGAGAGCTGCCCGAAGGAGGCACCGGGCGGGGGGGTCGATTGACGCAAGAGCCGCGCCCCCCCCGGTGCCTGGGATGGGGAGGCAGGGGGTCCCGGAGCCCCTCCGCAAAGCGCCCGCTAAACTTTCCGCAGAAGGCGGGGGGGCCGGCCCGGGCTGCGAGACGTTCTCTCGGTTGCTTGAAGGGGCAGAAGAGCGGCGACCTCCGGGGGCCCCGGTGCTGCCGCCTGGCGGTCGGGGGCCCCCCCCCCCCCCCCCCTGAACCGCCAGGACCGGCTGGCCGTCAGCCCTGTTGCTGCCCCGAGCGGCGCTCCGTGGCGGCCCGAAGGCGCCTTTTCCGGCGTGCCCCAGCGGCCTCTTCCTGGGGGCGGGAGCGGAGGGTCTGCTGCACGGGCCCGAGCTGCTTCGCCCTCCCTGTGCTGGGGCCCTCTTCCCGTTGCGCACCGTGCCGCGTCGGACTCGCGCTGGCTTCTCCTGCCATGGGGGTCGGGTCTTCTGGTGGGTCCCGGGGGGCAGGGAAGGCGGGAGGGGTCCAGGACTTGGGAGTAAGAGGGGCAGGAAGAAGGGAGTGAAGGATTGGCAGGGAAAGGAAGACCCCCCCCGAATGCAAGGACCCTCTCTCAGGCAAGTATCTGTGTATCTTTGGGGTGGGTGGGGCTGGAAGGGGCCTGTCTCCCTTTGGGGGAGGTGGGGGGTGGCTGAAGGGTCACCCGGGGTCAGCTGACTCTGCAATCATGTGGGGGTTATTTCGCCTCCCCATCTCCCCCCCCCCATTTCCTTTCCTTCCCAATCACGTTTCTCTCTCTCTCCTAGTAAACCAAAGGAAGCCATCTTCAATGCTGGTGAGTGATGTGGCCATGATAGATTGGGGGGGCTCTTGCTTATTCAACTGGGTGCAAAGTGGGGGCCGCCTGGAGGAAGAAAACCCAGAGGAGGGCGTGTCTGCGTTTTCCCTGTGGTCAGAAGTTTTCCAAAGGGGGGTGGCATTGCCCCTCCTCTTTTACAGGGCATCCTTCGGGGCCCCACATGAGGAAGGGGCACCTGCTTGCTCTACGCTGCAGGCCACCCTTGGGGTGGGGGTGGGGTGGGGCATCCTGAGAGCTGGGAGTTTACCTGGCTTTTGTGGGGGAGGGCAGACGAGGCTCCAGGCAGCTTCCTTACCTGGCCTTGCCTCCCTCCCCTTCTGCCCTGCAGAGGATGGTTACGTGAAAATGTTCCTCCGGGGACGCCCCATCCCCATGTTTGTCCCCGATGCCGTGGTGGCCACCTACAGCCTGGATGCCAAGCTGGAGCTGCCACACAAGAAGCTGAAGCTGGACTGGGTGTATCCTGCTCACGGCTGGGTCCCCCGGGGTGGAGGGAGGCTGGGCCCCAAACGCTGGCTCCAGACGTCCTGGCCAAGCCCCCTTGCGTTTCCCCTTGACCCGTGGCCACCTGCTGCAGATACGGGTATCGGGGCCGTGACTGCCGGGCCAACCTTTTCCTGCTGCCCACGGGAGAGATTGTCTATTTCGTGGCTGCAGTGGCCGTCCTTTACAACGTGGAGGAGCAGCGACAGCGCCACTATCTGGGCCACACCGATGATATCAAGTGGTAGGAAGGGCCCTTGGGACCGTGGCTGCCTTGCCCCGCCCTGCCCCATTTGCTGGGGGGAGGGGGGAGAAGCAGTGCCAATTTAGGGGAGGGCACTGGCACCTTGCCAGAATTGGGGAATGCCTTGGGAAAATGGTAGTTGGCTGAGGAAACGTGAAGGCGATGGGGAGGCACAATTCCTGTTCAATAGAAGTAGTTCCCCCCCTCCAGTCCTAGCAAACTGGGGGAGGAGCTGCCCCTCGGGGTGTCCTGCACCCCTGTCACCTGGGCCCTTGCTGTCTCCCTTAGTTTGGCTGTGCATCCAGACATGGTGACTGTAGCAACCGGACAGGTGGCCGGGACATCAAAGGATGGCAAGGTGAGGCGCTCGGCCTAAAGGAAGGCTGGCCACTAGAGGCAAAAGGGCAGGCTGTCCATTTGGGGAGGGGGGCTGTGGTTAGAGAGAGAGAAAGAAAACTGCCCCCAGTTTAGAGCTGAATTAATACCACCTGAGAACAGTGGCTGCCAAGTTGCACCAGCTGCTTTGGGTGTTTGGTACAGAAAAGTCAGAAGTGCCCCAAATGGGAGTATTTGAAAGTGGGCATTGCGCAGAAATTCCTCCTCCCCCCCCCCCCCCGGCATTTTCAGGGTGTCCACAGCCTGCAGATTGCCGAGCCCAGAGCTCTTGAGCGTTTGCTCTTGCTGTGGCAGTCAGTGGAGCTCCTGGGGAAGGTGTTCCACTCGCCTTCCTCTTCTCCCCTGGGGCTAACGTTGCAGCCATTGGCAACGAGCTGCACAAGCCGCGTGTGCCTCCTTGGAGGAAATGCCTTTGGCCTCAAGGTGCTCCCGCGTCTCCCACAGGCGCTGCCGCCCCAAGTGCGCATCTGGGACTCCGTGAGCCTCAACACCCTCCACGTCCTGGGGCCTGGACCTTTCGACCGAGCGGTGACCTGTGTGGGATTCTCCAAGTCTGTGCGTGAGACCCCCTCCTGACGGCCTTCTGTGGCCCTGAAGGGACCTCCTGGGACCCCCCTACCTCCCCCCCCAAGATGTGGCCAGATTAAAACATGGTCCGTCCTTGGTTGGGACCAACCTCAACAAAGTGGCTCAAGTAGCTCCCAACCAAGAACGGCCCATGTTTTATGGAGGATGGTGAGAGGACTTCAACTCCCGGAATTCCCCAGCCAGCCAAGCTGGGGTATATTTGGCTGCCACCATGCCTGGCTGGGGAATTCTGGGAGTTGAAGTCTACAAGTGGTCTTAAAGTTGCCAGGTTTGGGGACCCCTGCCTTAAAATGACCCCTCCCACCCAACTGAGCGAAAGGGAAGAGCTCTCCTGTTCCATCGGTGCAAGGAACGACCTGCCCGGACTGAGCACCTGCCCCTCTCTTTCCTCTGCCCAGAACGGGGGTGGCCTCCTGTGTGCCGTGGATGACTCCAACGACCACGTGCTCTCCGTCTGGGACTGGCAGAAGGAGCAGAAATTGGCTGACGTGAAGGTAGCCGGTTTGCTCGTCTCCGTTCCTTGCACCACAATCCGGCATGCGTGTTTCACGTCTGATACACTCGCCTTCCTTCCCTCCCAAGTGTTCCAACGAGTCCGTTCTGGCCGCCACCTTCCACCCCACGGAGCCCACCCTCCTCATCACCTGTGGGAAATCCCACATCCACTTCTGGACCCTGGAAGGCGGCAGCCTCAGCAAAAGGCAGGGCATCTTTGAGGTGAGAGCAAGGGGGGAAGAGGGAGGCGGGGGCCGGGAGGGAGACAGCTTGAGGTGGCTTCCCTGCTCTCAGCCCCAAGGACCTCCGGCCGGAGAGCTTACCACTGTCCAGAAACAAGCAGCCTCCTAGCTTTAGTAATTGCAGGGTGGAAGATCTGCTGGAGCACAGAACTCTGGGAAATGGAGGCCCCGATCAGCCCCCCACCCCACCCCTTGGGGGCTTCCCTCTTGCCTTCCATTTCCCTCCCATCAGAAGTAGGATGAGCAGCTGAGATCTAGGCTTTACACATTTTGTTTCAAACATATTACATGTAAGTCCTCAACTTACTACAGTTCATTTAGTGACCATCCAAAGTTACAACAGCACTGAAAAAAGGGTCTTATGATTGTTTTCACACTTAATGGCCATTGCAGCGTCCCCGTGGTCACATGATCAAAATCTAGATGCTTGGCAACTGACTCACATTTATGATGGTCGCAGTGTCCCAGGGTCACATGATCCCCTTTTGCGACCTTTGGACAAGCAGAGTCCATGGGGAAGCCAGATTCACTTAACAACTGTGCTACTAATTTAACAACCGCAGTGATTCACTTAACAACGGCGGCAAGCAAGGTCATGTTTGGGCTCAATGGTAGTCATAAGTCGAGGACTAGCCACAATTCAGCCGTGTGTGATTGTGACTGCTTGCTGAGATTTTCTGCAGCCAAGTGTTCTCCACGCACAAAGGCCTGAGGGGGATATTTGGGGAGGGGGGGCTCTGAAGTTTTTCTTTGGGGGCTCATTCCTTTCTCCCCCCCCCCTTTCTCTGCAGAAACACGAGAAGCCCAAGTATGTGCTGTGCGTGGCCTTTACAGAGAATGGGGACACGGTGACTGGCGACTCGGGGGGCAACCTCTACATCTGGGGCAAAGGTCTGTTGGTCGGAGGGCAAGGTTCCTTCTTACTCCCAAAGGCTATCTGGACGCCCCTGGCCAGGAGTATTGACTATGCATAAACCAGGATTTGTGGGCTTGGTTTATGCAAGCCACGATGTGCGGATTAACCATTAAATCATGCAAACCGGTCTAGGCTGCTGGGTTCATGGTCTCCCCAGGCCAAGATGATGGAGACTAGCCCCCTGCCTTAAGCCATATTGGTTTATAGCAGGGGCCTCCAATCTTGGGAACTTTAAGACACGTGGACTTCAACTCCCAGAATTCTGTGCTGGCTGGGGGAATTCTGGGAGTTGAAGTCCACAGGTCTTAAAAGTTCCCAAGGTTGGGGACCCCTGCTATAAAACCAAGGTGCCCTGATTTTATGGGACAGGAGGGTGGGTGGGCTCTGCCTAAATGCCTGCTGGGTGTCACTGTTGTCCTTTGTTGGCAGGGGGTAACCGGATCTGCCATGCGGTGCCAGGCGCCCACGAGGGGGGCATCTTCGGCCTCTGTGTGCTGCGGAATGGGACCATCCTCACGGGGGGTGGCCGAGATCGCCGGGTGGTGCTTTGGGGACGGGATTACCAGAAACTGCAGGAGAACGAGGTGAGAACCGGGGCCAAACAACCGAGATGAAGGACAGCAGGTCAAAACAGCAAGAGACGCTCAGCTTTTAGTCTTAAGATAAGAGGGGAAAGTGCTCGCTCTCCATAGGAGCCTCTTTCCAAGCCAAAATTGGTTTATGTGGGTCTGTGGTGGTTAACGTGCTCCGGGATGTCCCAAGGGGCTTTGTCTGTCTGTCCCTCTGGGTGTTCCTGGAAATAGGGTTTCCTGATTGATGAGGAGGTTGGACTAGAAGACCTCTAAGGTCCCTTCCAACTCTGCTATTCTCTGCAGGTCCCAGATGGCTTCGGGCCAGTACGCACCATTGCCGAAGGGAAGGGCGACTCGCTCTTTGTGGGCACCACACGCAACTCTGTGCTACATGGGTCCTTGTCGACTGGCTTCTCTCTGCTGGTGCAGGTAATGGTCTCTGCTGGGATGGCCTTGGCACCGGGGCTACCCCCATGGAAAGGCCAGGCCCTCGGGGTCCAGCTGATCCCCCCCCCTCTCCTACCAGGGACACACCGAAGAGCTTTGGGGCCTGGCCACCCACCCCACCCTGGACCAGTTCCTCACCTGCGGACAGGACAAGCAAGTCCACCTGTGGAGCGTGGCCTCCCACCAGCCTCTATGGAGCAAGGGAACTGAGGTGAGCACGGGGTCTTCTGAGGGGGCTTTGGGGGCAGTGAAGACCACCTCCCAGGCTTCAAAGAGTCTGAACACTTTTCTCTCCTCCAGGATGCGGCTCGCTCGGCTGCCTTCCACCCCAGTGGTTCAGTCCTGGTGGTGGGCACTGTCACGGGCAGGTAATGGGCCCCTGGAGGCAGGAGGGTGGAAGATGATTTCTGCAGTGACCTGGCACTCTGCTGCCCCTCTCTCAGAGGCCTCTGGGGTGGCTTGGATGGCTGCCAAAGGAGGAATGGGGAGGGGTCTCAGGGATCTCGTGCAGCTGTTGGCCCCAAACTTTGAGCTCCTTCTCTGTCCTCCTTTAACAAAATCTGCTCATTTTTTAATCTCCTTGCTCTTGAGTGCTTTCTCTGCCTTCCTAATGGGGGAAGATGCAGAGGAGCGGACAGGCAGGCAGGTGGACAGACAGATGGACCAGGGCGCATCTGCACTCCTTGGGGGGTTCTGGCCTGCCATAGCATCTCCCCTCCCCTTCCATTCTGCTTTCAACCAGGTGGCTAGTGCTGGACACGGAGACCCGGGATCTGGTGGCCATTCACACGGACGGAGGAGAGCCCATCTCCGTGGTCAACTTTTCCCCAGGTTAGAAAAGGGGGTGGTGGTGGTGGGCTACACACAGGCAGGGGTACAAGAACTTGCAAACTCCAGGTGTGGCATCGGGTGGGGCTTTGCAAAAGGGGAGGCAGTCCGGGGCCCTCCATGTCCTTTGGTAAAAAGGACACAAAAGACACGAATTTGAAGGTGATTTCTTGGGGTCTGAGCCCTAGATGCTGCAGGGGGATTTTGAGAGAGATGGGGGTTAGAAATAGGAAATAGAAAATGGATGAATAAATGAATGAAATACCCCAGATTTTCTCTGCCTTGCTGCCTTCTCTCTGCTGATTCCCCCCCCCCCTTTTCTTTTTTTCCAGACGGGAAGTACCTGGCTCTGGGGTCCCACGATAACTTTGTCTACATCTACCTGGTTTCCGAGGGTGGCAGGAAATACGGCCGGGTTGGCAAATGCTCAGTGAGTGGAGGCTGCCGGGGAGAGAGGCCTTTCCGAGTGGGGTCTTCAGGGAGGCACCAGGGTGGGCTAGGGCTCCTTTGAACAGAGTTCCCAGGGCTCAGCTGGATAGCCCAGGACTGCCAGCCTCTCCTGCAGACTCTCTGATGCTCACGAAGCGGCTGCGAGTTCCAGATTCTCCTGAAAGTCCAAAAGAAAAGAAGGGCGCTGAGGTGAGAATATGCTGCCGGTCGGCCTTTCTAAAAACCGACTGTGTGTCTTTCTTGCCTCAGGGACACTCCAGCTTCATCACCCATCTTGACTGGGCCTTCGACAGCAGCTGCTTGGTCACCAATTCGGGGGATTATGAGATTCTGTATTGTGAGTGTTCTGAGGGCTTAACGTTCATCCCACTTCATTTATCTATCAGCTTTGGAAACCGCCCATCGCCCCCACAGAGGGACCTGTCTTCCCTGCCGTGTCCTTGGCTGGGGATGGGGTGCTTCCCCGCCTTCAGTTTGAGTCAGTCGGAAGAGGAGGGTGGCCTTTGTCTCTTTCCTGGCCCAACGCCAGAGGAAGAGACTTGGAGGGGACCCTGGAGGTCTTCTAGACTGGATGCTGACCTGGCACTCCAAGGATGCCCACCCCAAGAACAATCCTAGCCAGATTGTCCGTTCTGCTTTTGTTGGCTTTAACGAACGGAAGGGCTCTCGTGTCGGAGCTTGCATGGAGCCCCTCCCTTAGTGGCCCCTTCCTGCCCACCTGAGCCAACTGGCACCAGCCTCTGGGCACTCTGGGCACCACCCACTCGGGGATCTCCGTGGCTGTCTCACAACCGCTGACAGCCAAGAGTCCGTCAGCCCGGGGGAAATCCCTGGCTGAAAACTCCAGGCTCTCCTCTTCTTGGAGGTGCCGTTGTCCCTTAGGGCAGGGGTCTCCGCCCTGGGCAGCGTTTCAGCTTGTGGACTTCAACTCCCAGGATTCCTCAGCCAACATAGAACCCCGCCTTAGGGCACATGCAGCTCTCTGAACCCGCCTTCCTTATTGCTGCTGCCTTCCTTCCCATCCCAGGGGACCCCTCCACCTGCCGGCAAATCACCAGCGCCGAGGCTGTGCGCAACCAGGAGTGGGCTACCGCCACCTGCGTACTAGGCTTCGGGGTGTTTGGTGAGTGCAGCGGGGCATGTGTGGGTGCCAGGAGGGTTCTGTGCCTGGGCCAGCAGGGGGCAGCACAGGCCTAACTATACTGTTGCAACACTGGGATCCTCTCCACCTCCAGCACCTCTTGGGGGGGGGTCTTTTAAGGAATTTGAACATCAGGAATTCAGGCTCTTGCTGACCGTTTCTCCTGCCCCTCTAGGGATCTGGCCAGAGGGGGCGGATGGCACCGACATCAACGCTGTGTGCCGCTCCCACGAGGGGAAGCTCCTGGCGTCGGCTGATGATTTTGGCAAAGTGCACTTGTTCTCCTACCCCTGTTGCCAGCCGCGGGTAAGCAGCTATGGCAGGACCCTCTCGGACCTTTGCTGGTGCCTCTTCTTCCTCCTCGCTCTTGGCCTGGTGCGCCAGGTGTGGGGCAGAGGGTCACCCAGAAGCCTAAACGTTGCCTCTCCCCAAAGTATAAAACCATGATATGGCTTTTGGGGGGGGGGAGTGGGGATCCACTGGCACAGCAGAACCACCCTGACTCTCAGTGGTTTCCCTCGGGGGGAGGAGGGCCCAGTTCAGTGTGGTGGTTCAGGTGCTGGCCTAGGAACCAGGAGGTGGTGAGTTCTAGTTCTGTCTTAGCCATGAAAGGCAGCTGGGTGGGCTGTCACCAGCCGAGGGTGAATTCTAGTCCCACCCCAGGTATGAAAGCCGTCTGGGTGGCTTTGGGCCAAACACCAGGAGGCTGGGAGTTCAGGCCCCACTTTAGGCACAAAAGCCAGTCCCTCTCTCTCAGCCCAACCCACCTCACAGGGTGGTTGTTGGGAAGAGATGATGAGTTACTTACACATCAAGAGTTCTCATCCGATGCATCAGACAGAACCGTCCGGTATTCTCTGGGATTTGAAACCCTTCTCAGCCAACCGGGGAGGAGGACCCAACACACACACACACACACACACACACACACCCCCGAGAGAAGGGCAGAGTTTATGCACTTTGGAGACCAGGCTGCGCTGTCAGGACCTCAATCCAGGGGGTGGGTGGGTGGCACAAGGCTGCCCGGCTGCCTCTTTTCTGCAGAGGCTGGCCAAGCAAAGCTTGACCAGCCAGCGAGCAGCCCCTTCCCCTCTGACCCCCCCTCTCTTTCCCCAGGCCCCCAGCCACACTTACAGCGGCCACAGCAGCCACGTCACCAACATCGCCTTCCTCCACGATGACAGCCTGCTGCTTTCCACCGGTGGGGTGGACACCAGTGTCCTCCAGTGGCGCCTCCTGTAGGGAGGGAGGGGGGAGGCGGTTAGCGGGGCTGCCTCGGTGGTGGGGCTTGGGGGGCAGGAGGTGCAAAGGCGGGAGACGGGTGGGGTGGGGGTTGCATCCTGTTAAACGCTTTGGGGAGGGTTTAATACTCAGGGGAAGGGGAGGGGGGGCTAGTGGCTGAGAGGGAAAGAGGCACTTAAAGAGATTGCAGGCAGCTATATTTACAGAAATCCCTATATGAATAATGATAATATATATCTAGATCGATCTCTATATATCTATATTTAAAGGCAGAAGGTTGCACAGGCTGAGAATGTGAGGGAGTTGAGGAAGAGTGGAGGGGGAGGGGCGCAATTACACCCCCCCTCCCCCCAGACAGGGCAGAGCTTGATGCTCTCTTGGCCTCGGGTTCAAGAGACCCGGGCAGGAACAGCTGAAGCCCTCCGGTTTCTTTCCGACTCCTCGGATGCTTTGGGGCACGTTTGCACTATGAATGTGAGCCAGTTGGGTTCCTGGGTTCCTTGTTGTAATTCGGTTTGTTTTCCCTGCAATTGGGAAAAGGGGTGGCCGCAGCCCTGAGGGTCTCAGAGGGGAGGCCAGTTTATGGGCAGCCTGTCCTGCCCCAGAGACTGCCCTTCCACACCTTCCCTGGGCGGGGAGATGGAAGGGAGGGGCAGGATCCTGGACTTGCTCACCCCTTTGGACCCGGTGCCTCCTCCCAGCTGCTCGGTCAGAATCCTTGGAGGGTGGGCAAAAGAGAGATGGGGTCTCCCCCCACCCTGGCCTCCTCCCAGGGAGAGGAGAAAAATCATGCTGCGTGACGAGATGGAAGCCCTGAGATGTTTTCTGGGACGGGGGTCTCCAGCCATGACAACTTGAAGACTTGTGGACTCCCAGAATTCCTGCAGAGCTGCTCCACAAGTCTTAAAATTGTCAGGATTGGAGACCCCCGTCCTGGGATTAGCTTTGCCCCCACTGTTGATCTGCTATTGGGGGGGTGGGGGGAGGGAAGCAATCCAGGAGCAGAGACAGCAAGGCCCAGCCTCAACTTCTCTTGCATCCTCAGGCTACCCAAATCACTCTTTTTGTGATGGCAGCATTGTGAACACACACACACACACACAGCCTGGTGACTGCCCTGTGTGCTCTTCAATTTCTGCCTCAGAAAAGGGGCTTGGTCAGACAAGGAGCCCCTCCTGGCCTTCCCCTCCCCTTCCTTCAGCCTGCCTCCCACTCTCGAATCCCCCACCCCCTTGGCCAGGCCACTCCAGCCCCCCCAATCCAAGGGAACATAGGAGGAGTCCTCAGTTTACAACGATTTGCTCAGTGAGCGTTCAAAGTTACACCACCACTGAAAAAAGTGACACATGACCAGTTTTCACTCTTACGACCGTTGCAGCCTCCCCCTGGTCACGTGAACAAAATTCAGGCACTTGGCAACTGATTCCTATTTATGACAGCCACGTGATCCCCTTTTGGGACCTTCTGACGAGCAAAGTCCATGGGAAACCAGATTCACTTACTAACCATGTGACTGACTTAACAATTGCAGTGGTTCACTTAGCAACCATGATGAGAACGGTCGTAAAATTGGGCAAAACTCACTTAGTAACTGTCTCACTCAGCAACAGAAATTCTGGGCTCAAATGTGGTCGTATGCCGAGGACCCCCTGTCATTTCCATGCTGGTGGATGGAGAGAGCAGGAGGGGCTCCGAGGCCTTCAGGGGTCTTGCTCCAATCTCTCCTCCCTGGCCTCCAAGAATTCCCGCCCGGCTTGAAAGGCCTCTGAGCAAGGAGCCGCCCTTCCCACCTGGCCAATTCCTGCTTCCCGGGGACCAGCCTTCCTTTATCTCACCTGAGGTGCCTGGGGATCCGGAGGCCTGATGAGGAGGAAGGCAGGGCTGGGAGCCGAAGGGGGACCAAAGACCCTTCCCCTTGGGCGTGCACGGCTGGGGGGGCTCCCTTTCAAAAATGGGGAGCGCACATGGTCTGTATGGAGAAGCCAAGAGCATTCAGGGCTGTGGGAAAAGCTGAGGTGGTGGATCAGCAGAGTCACAGTTTCAGCCCAGGGTGAGGGTCTTCTGGGCATCCTCCTGGTTTGGGCTACGTGGCTGAGGGGACGTGGAGGCCACTGGCCGCATCTGTTGTGGGGCGGGGGGGGATTTAGAGTGACCACAGCATGACTATCTTCTGTATTTTCCAAAGAAAAAGTACTGGGGGAGGGGATGCTAGGAATTGTTTAATAAGAATACAATCCAATAAAAAGCGGTAGAAGAACGCAGGTTGCCTCAGGTGCATAAATGTCATTGTCAGGGGCAACTTTTGAACCTTAAGCAAACTTGACAGGCACACAAAGGCTCATCTCGGCTCCTCCTGACCGAAGGTTGCAATCAGACATCTGGGCAGGCTGGTCTCTGAAGGCGGCTCTCCGCCCACTGCCAGGCCTGAAGAGGAACGGGGACAGATGGGCAGCCTGTGCCAACGACGTGCCCTGCTCCGTGTTGCTGCCTTGGCGGGATTAATGCTTCTGCTTTGCTGCCACTAAGAGGATGGTGTGTGTGTGTGTGTGTGGACTAGATCAGTGGTGGTCCACGAGAAGATTTTGGTGGTCCACAGAAAAATTATTTGCATTTTTTATATTGCACTAAATCAGGGGTCCTCAAACTAAGACCCCTGGGCCGGATACGTGCAATGAACGTTTGTGCTGCTGCAGAGAGTCTTTTTGTGCGGGTCAGAGGGGGGCAGAAATTCCTACTTGGGGTCTGCTTCAACCTCTTGGTGCGGGGCTTTCGGCAAAGGCTGCAGAGAAGTGCCACTGGTGGCAAAGAGCCGGAGGGCCTCGTTCCAGTGGGACTGCATCACGGCCTGGAACTGGCTGCCATCTCAGCCCACTGAGACTCCAGGCGCCGGTAGCTGGCCTTGCACTCCCACAGGTCCTCCCTCTGCTTGGAAAGCCTATGCTCCTAGTCCTGAGTGAGGTGCTTCTGCTGAGCCTCCTTCTTGGTCAGATCCAATCTGAACTGAGCTGCTTTACCAACTCTTTCTCGTGGTGGCTGCTTAGCTCCAGCAACTGCTTCCTGTTGGGGCCCTAAGGACCCCGGGTGGGGAGGGGAGGAGTGGTTGGGAGGGGAGGGGTGAATAGAGGCTGGCGAGGCACCCCTTGACGTGAGTGACATTGAGTTGGCCATGCCCACCCAGTCACATGACCACCTAGCCACGCCCACCCAGCCGGTCAGTAGGCAGATCATATTAGTGGTCCGTGGGATTTAAAATTATGAATATAGTGGTCCCCAAGGTCCGACAGGTTGGGGACCCCTGGACTAGATGATCTCCAAGGTCCCTTCCACTATTTTATTATTTGAAATGGGTAAGATGACATTTCAGAGGCCCCAGATGGAAAGAGCGGAAAGGTTTTAGAAATTCATGTGCCAAATGCCAGTGCCTGATAGGTGGAACATTCCATAGATGATATGCCGGTGGGAGAATTCTGGGAATTGAAGTCTGCACATCTTCAAGTTCATTACCATGCTGGCTGAGGAATTCTGGGAGTTGAAGTCTGCTGTCCTAAATCCGTGCTCCCTCCAATAGACCAACATGCTGCACTAAAACTGCCTGGCAGGGGCATGCGCTCCGATTGGCAATTCGTGCCAATGCCATGACTGTCCTGCTCACTCAGGGGTGTCCTTTCTGCTAGTTTCTTATTAAAAGGGGAAACTCGGAGGAGAGACAAAGGTCGCTGCCGAAATCAGCTGCAGGAAACTGGATCTCACCCAAACACTGGATCCAGTTCTTTCCAACCGACTGCGAGCTGTAGCAGGCAGGGAAGGACTTGATGGAAGCACCTCCAGCTCTTTGGTGGGGTGGGGGAGATGTCCAGCTGTAGCCTAGAATTACCCATGCCCATAACTGGCACCACGGAAGTGCCCTCTGGGTTTGCTGGGTGCTAAGCAGCTTGGTGTGGGGGGGGGGAGAAAGTTTTGAAAAGTGTGTACTGGAGAGGGAAGGCTGCCCCTTCCCTCCCAGGTGGCCGCTGGTGTTGTGTTTTCTCAAGCAACTGTGACGTAGAACCAGCTGACTGATTTAATCGCCATTCAAAATAAGTAAAGTAGAGCAAATTTGTCTTCAGCTCCCCTCCTGGTGATGCAGTTGCAGAGGACGGACCGGCTGGAAAAGGGCAGCGTGTTCTGAAGTGAGTCAACCGGTGTTTGGCTTCAAACCCTGTAGAAGAGACGGGTGTTGGGTTCCTTGGAAAGCTGCTTTTAAGCGTAACTCCAGGCTCAGCTTTGGTTGCAGGGAGTCTTAAGCCAGGGTCTCCAACCACCCCCACTTTAGACTTGTGGACTTCACCTCCCAGAATTGAAGCCCACACGCCTTAGAAGTTGCCGAGATGGGAAAACACTGCAGTAAGGCAAAACCACATTTGTCTGTCTGGCTTTTCTCCCTGCTGACATTTCAACTTTCCTAGAACTGCGGCAGAAGGAAGAATGTCCACACCTTTTTCCCTCTTTACCTGGACCCAAAAGGCAGCTTGGCTTCCTCTCCCGCTCATCCTTTTAGAGTCACAACCCTGGGCTTCTTCAGAGAAAAGCAGGCAGGTGGATTTGCTCCTTCAGGCAAAGGTGGGGCTGCAGGCTTATCTTGGCCTTCTTGCTTGGAAGTTCATTGACCCCTGATCCGGTGGCCCTTCAGAGTTTATGGGGGCCCTTGGCGGAGTTATAGACAACTTTACTGGGGCCGAAGCTCAGCAGGGGAAGACCTGCGCTGCAGCTCTGATGTTTCCACCAACTCCTGGGTGAAGATTTCAAGTGACGGAGGAAAACCATTATTTCCCCTCTGACTGAGATCTTGCAGAGCTGTTTCCAGCCAGAAATGTACCTACCTGTCCTTAATTCAGGTCTGCCTTTCCCCGGCTTCCAGGTATTTTGACTACAGCTCCCACCATCCCCAGGCAGCCTTGCCCAGCAGCATGGTAGCGGCACCGGATGGGAGGGTTGACACCCCAAAGATGGGAGACCAGATTCCCATCTCCTCTGCTGGTTCTGTCATCGGCAGACACAATGATCCCCTCTTTGTGTCTCTGGAGATTCTCAATCCTCCAGGCCCTGGTTGCCCCAAAGGTCTTTTCCAAAAGACAACTGGACTTTCATGGTTCTTTTTTTCCTTTGAAAACGTTTCCCTTCTCATCCAAGAAGATTCTTCAGTTCTGAAGAGCCACCTAATGATGAAGAAGCTTCTTGGATGAGAAGGGAAACGTTTTCAAAGGAAAAAAGGGAGAAAAGTCCAGTTGCCTTTTGGAAAAGACCTTTTGGGTATCCCGTCTTTGAAAATCAGAGTTTGGGGGGGAAAGTACAGTCTGCATTTCCCGCAAGGGGGGGTGGGCACTTGGCACCTTTGGGTACGAAATGGGTCCAATCCAGGAAACTGCCCTGCCTGCGTCTCTGGCTCGCTCTTCCCATCCCGAAGGAGCTTCGCTATGGGGTAATGGATCAGAGGGGTCTGTGACTGATTGCCTCCTGCACCCCCAAATTAGAGAGCTCTCAAAGAGTCCCGGCATAAAGGCTCCAGGGCCGTTTTGATGCTTGAGGACAGAAGAGGCTCTGCTATTTAGGAAACCAGAACGGCTCAGGGGCCTCCAATAGGGGAGGCAAAGGGCCACAGGGATGGGGCCCCCTATCCATGGGACTTAATCTCCAAAGAGGCAGAGTCTCCCACTCACCCACCCCAAAAACTTTGCCTTAATTCCTGAGAAGACAGGACCTTCCCACCAGGGAGCACCTGCTTGGAAGGAGCCCAGCCCCCCCCCCCGGCGCCAGCTTAGCCCTACTATCTGCAGCCTCTGCTGGGCACCTTCCGGGCAGAGGGCCCCAGTCTCCTCCTCTTCCCCCCCCCCAAAGAGTACCCAGTTTTCTTTGCTGCTGCTGAAGGTTTCAGCAGGGTGCCAAATCTGCTCTCAGGTTCCTCTGGGATCTTTGCACGCTGCTGTCCTGCTCTCTGGTTTTTGCCGTCCTCTGACTTATTAATGAGCAGCAGCTGCTGAAGGCAGCCTCCTGAGCTGAGCTGGCCCGGGTCCTGCGGCTGGGCTGATCTCATGTCGCGCTTGCCTGAAGACGCCTCCAAAGGAAAACAAAGGCCGGCCCCAAACCCCGGCTTAGCCTTGGCTGCCAGGACAATCCTTGGCTGGAGCAGAGCCATGCTGGGAAGGGTTTGGGGTGGGACCGCTTGCCTTTGGCCCCAGGTGAGTGTGAGGGCTTGAAGCTGCTCTCTGGGTATGCTCAGAGCTCCTCACTCCTCCTCACTCCTCCTCCTCCAAAGAAGGACCTCAACTGTACGTGGCATTCTTGATCCACGGTTGCTGGGTCCCAAGGTCTCGAGAAGAAACCCTCTGGGAGATCGACTGGGCTTCAGCAGTCATGGCTGTTACGCTTCAGAGGCTCCTTGAGCAATCAGCCTGCCTCCGCCTGAAGGCCTCTTGCAGAATTCTGCAACTGCACCCCAAAGCAGAATCGGGCCTCGGGTGTGTTCCCACCTGAGAGGCTCATGGCAAGTATTCCTAGCTTTACGGGCTTTACTGGCCAACTCAAGAAGAAAACTGGAATGTGGTCTCACTTCTGGGAATCTCCCCTCATTCAGCTCCTTTTGGATCAGAGGCCAGGAAAGCCTTAGGATTCCCCCGGAACAAGCGAACGGCCTGAAGCACAGAGCTCACCAGGCCATCTCTGGTGGACCTTGTCTGTTGTAGGCCTCCAACTCTGTGGCTGCTCCCGGTTTGTGTATTGTGCAAGTGAAAAACTTGGGATCCTCTTACAAGCTGTGGCTGAAGGACCCCCAAGCGCATTGCGGCAAGACAGCCACCCTCAGAAACGGGCTAAGGAAACCTGGGCTGAAACTTTTCTCACAAGTTCTTAAAGAGGTTCTTAAAATGGGGGCGGGCAGGAGGCCTTCCTTTATATGGATGGGGAGCCAAACTCTGAGATACAAATGAAGTCTGGGATATAAAGGCAGAAGATCTGTGTGTGTGTGTGTGTGTGTGTGTGCTTAAGGCAGGAGAAAGGTGTGCTTGCTTGTCTTGTTGATCTCTCCTTGGGATTTTCATTCGGCTGCCCTTCGAGGGCTTAGCAGGCTGAATCACAGGAGCATCTTTAAATAGGCACAGGTAAGTCTTCCAGGCCACTCTGCTATTAAAATATTACAGATTATCTCCTGCTTCACCACCCGGCCCCTTTGCCTTTCCGGGCCCTGCTCCTCTGCCTGCTGTGAGTCAGGGCCTTTTTTAGGCCTGCAACATGGGGGCCCTTGTGAGTCTCTTGGGGGTTCAGGGGCCAAGGGGGAAGGAGAGAGAGGGCAACTGGGGCAGGGCGGACTTATTTTGGGAAGCGAGGAGGAGGAGGAGGACGACGCGGCAGGAACTGGCTCCTCAAGGAAAGAGGCCCTTCCTGCCCTCTGCTGACGGGGGAAGGGGGCTGAGCTGTCCAAGAGTCTGCAGGCAGCCGGACCACCCTTCCTGCAAAACGCCAGGCTGACCCTCCTGGCCTTTTCCATCATGCTTCTCTTGGCGGCCACAGCACTCTGGCTTGGTGGCTCCTGCAGAGGGGGAGGAAGGAGCCCCCGCAGGCTCACCAGTCAGCTGCTCTCTCCGTGGGCTTGCTCATTAGCCAGGAGCCCCCCAAGGACAAGCAAGGGAAGATGTGGATGGCTTCCCAGGAAAGCAGCTGCTTTCCAGGCATTGGAAAGGGGGTGGAGGGCTGAGCCCCTAAAGCCTGGCTGGCACCCTCCTCTGCGCCCTCAGGGCCCCTCACCCCAAGGGCCAGAAAGGCAATGGGGTCTCTTTGTTCTCTGGGGTGGAGCTCCCAGGCGAGGGGCTCTTCTCACCTGAATCCCTTATGCCAACGAGGCAAACATTGGAGGGGGTCACTCCGGCTCTTCCCGACGCTCGGAGGCCCCTTTTGCCCTCCTCTGCCCCGTCCCCAGAGGGTCGCTGGCGGGGCTGAGCAGGGAGGGCTCCCAAGATCGTCGGGACCCGAAGGCTGCCTGAGCGAGGAGGAGCTGCGAGGAGGGTCCCCTTCAGCTCCGCTCCCCCTCCGCTGCCAACCCAAGTGGACCTTTAACCCCTGGATTAACTCCCCAACCCCGCACCTCGGAGCCCCTCCGCACCCCGCTTCCTCCTCCTCCTCCTCCCCCCCGGCAGCCCCTCCGCGGTGAACCGCCAGGCGGGAGAAGAGCCGGACCGGCGGGGCGCCCGGGGGAGCCGGCAGCGAGCGGGTTAAACGGCTCCCCGCCCCGAGAGGCTGGTCCGGGGAAGGCGCCGCGCCGAGAAAGTCTCCGGGCACTCACTCCGGGCTGAGCCGGGCGGCGAGCGGAGGTCCCGATGGAAGCCGGGCAAGATCCCCCGCCGGCGGCGTGAGCGTGAGCTCCTCTTCGGAGCGCCGCCGCCCGGGAGAAGCCCCTCGACCCCGCCGGTGGAGGAGGCGGCGGCAGCGGCGACCTTCCCGGGAAAGTCTCAACCGTGAGCATCTGCTGCCCGCGACACGGCCGGGATGGGAGGGGGGGGTCCGTTGCTTGGCGGAGGAGGGGGCCAAGAGGGCGCTTCCCCTGAGTAAAGGGAAGCCCTTCCAGGTGGCTTTGTGGGAGCCGAGCACATCAGTGCCAAGAGAGACTAAAAAGAATCTCTGAGCATGTACCAAGTGCTTTTCCTTCACCACTTGAAAGTTGCCAGGGGTTTGGAGATCAAGGCATGGAGGGGGGCTTCCCCGCCCACTCTTGATCTTACTCTCACAACAGTTCTGTGATGTGGGGGTGGCGGTTGTCCCAGGGATCCAGTAAATCCCCTGCCGGGGGGGGGGCGCGGGCTTGGGAGGGCACATTCCCCTCCTCCAAAGGCATTTACGGGCTTCCTGGATCCTGCCTGAATAAATGCGGAGGGGGTCCCAGCCTGCCAGGCAATGTTTTGCCCTCTGCCCAGGTAACAACTCCAGCTTGGCTGTTTGCTTGCTTGGCACGGAGGAAAGACACTCTGCATATTCCCAGAGGCTGGCTGCAAAAGATTCCAAATGCACTAGCACTCTTTTTCAGGAACTGTGGGGGGGGGAGATTGGCAAAGGTGGGGGGCACACAAGACCTCCCTAGGCAGAGAGAAGACCCTCCTAGTCTATATTGCTCAAGAGTCTCCAACTTTATCAACTTTAAGACTTGTGGGCTTCAACTCCCAGAATTCCCCACCAGCACAGCTGGCTGGGGAGTTCTGGGAGTTGAAGTCCTCAGGTCTTAAAGTTGCCAAGGTTGGGAACCAGTAGTGGGTTTCAAATCCCGGCGCTACAGGTTTGCTATTGGTAGTGCACAGGCGCGCTCGCTCACTTCATGAGCACCCGGTGCTTCTGTGCATGTACAGAGCGTTTTTTTATGACATGGGGAGTGTGTGGAGCCTTCCACCGCCACCACTACCAGTTCGCGCAAACCGGAGTAACTGTTGGGAACCCCAGCTAGCTGATCCGCACCAGGCAGGAAAGAAGCGGCAACTGGCCAAGGGCAGTTTTTGTGTGGCACAAGAGGAAGCCTTCGACAGCCCAGGCTCTCCGCTGGGTCTTTGGGGAGCCTGGCTAGCCGGAGTCCCCAGCCCTCTTTGAGAACCCCACAAGAGAAGGGCACGAGAGAGATGCCCCGCTTGGGAGAGAGGGAGTTCAGTTCCCTTTGACTTTGGATTCCCTTAACTTCTGAGGTTAGTGGGACCACCAAGGCGGAAGCTGGATCCAGCCCCCATTCTGGTTCTTGGTCCCCCTCCAGCACCCAAACTGACTGGCCCATGGGGCTCCGGCAGGCCAAACCATCCGCTCCAGCTTGCGCACCTGCCTGGACCCCCAACCCCAATCAGGAAGCTCCCTCCCAGGTCAGGAAATTTGGGGGGGGGTGTTTCCAGACAAGGAGATGAGGCACAAGACAGGCAACCCCCAAGTGGCCAGCTTTCCCTTGTGGCTCTTGCCCCCCACGCTGGCTGTGGGTCAACGGAGACTTCCACCCAGTCTTTCCATGTCATCCTGGAGAAAATGCAGGGAGGGGAAACGGGATATTTCCAGCAGAAGGAGCAGGAAGGCAGCCCCCCCCCTCCTCCTCTGCCCCTCCTGAATCTATTTCTATTTTCATCTTTACTGACTTGCTGCGCGGATAACAAAATTGTGCTGATAACCTCAACAAATAATGGAGTTTCTGGCGATAATGAAATCAGTCTAAATGCAATTTTGAAATCACAGGGCACATGGCGGGAGGGAGCCGAGCAGCCGTTTCTTCCTGCCTGGTTCCAGCCGTGCCGCCTGCCCTGCCATATGCCTTACGGGGATGGACACCTGGACCACTTTCTACTTCTCTTCCAACCTGGCCTTGGGGCGAAGGTGACGGGGTGGGGGTGGGTAGCCTTGCTGGCCCTTTCTTCGCTTTTAATGCCACCAGCTGGGGTGGAGTGGCCCTTGTGTCAGAGCCTTTTCTGGAGTGGATCCCTGTCTGTGAAGTTCCTTTACGACAGGGGTCTCCAAGGTTGGCCAGTTTAAGACTTGTGGACTTCAACTCCCAGAATTCCCCAGCCAGGACATGCTGGCTAGGGGATTCTGGGAGTAGAAGTCCTTAAGTCTTAAAGTGGCCAAATTTGGTGACTCTTCCTTTTGCCTCTCTTTGTGGGCCTTCTGTAGTCTTCATTCCAAGCAGCATTTGGGTTTTATTGTCTTTCTAGGAAAGATTTTACCTGTTAGCGCTACCTTACTGATGTTTTATTTACTTGAACTTACTTACCCATTTCATATTGTGTTTATACTTGACCTTTCCAAAATATGATATAACCTGCTGGATGAGGCTTTTATTTGGAGAAACAGGCGAGGCAAGGATTTAATGCTAATAATCCTTTTTGATAGTAATAATAAGAGCAGTTAGGGGATCTAGCAGGAGACGCCGAGGCTTCCAAAACATAGTAGAGACACAACTGGAAGGGCTACATAATCGTTTTAGCTGCAAAGGGCAGATTAGCTGTCCGAATGACCCGAGTGCAGGATTAAAACTCTCCTCGCCCCAATGGTGGCTATTTGTGTGTTTCTCTGATTGATCTCCTGGCGTGGCTCCAGGGCTCGACATCTCTCCTCCCAGTGCCGTCCCAGCAAGATCCCCAGGAAGGGGTTGACTTGTGGTTTCCAGACTGCTTGTATTTTAGCTGAAATCAATGAAAACTCCATGAAGCCGGCAATGGCTGGAGCGCATGCCTGGACTCTCAGTGATCACACAACACAGTTAACTTGAGGGATTTAACGGTTCAGAGAGCACCAAGGACCCTTCATTTCAACCCTGAGCTACAATATTCTGCTTTATGGTTACTGTATGGTTACTGTATTAGCTCACTTGCTGGACATGCCTTGTAAGCGAATCATGCGCTAACTGGCTCAGCAGCCACACACAAACATCTAACTGTGGTTAAGACTGAGGAAGCCCAGTGTTTTGCACAAAGTCACTCAGCTTGAACAGATGCGGGTAAACCTGTGGTGTGAATGTTTGCTGAAGGACCCACCCAGGTCTGGAGAAGGCCGAGGTGCCGCCAGCCACGGCGGCAAAACGTGGCCCACAGACCTCAAGCACAGGCCTGGGGACAATGGGTACGTGCCCACTTCAAGGCCTTGGGTTCAGCTAAAGGAGGAACGGTGCTCAGTGGCTGAATGTCTGCCTCGGTTCCCCTGCATGTAGTAGTGAGACCTTCGTGTACTCAGATGATCTGAATCTCTAAAGATAATCTTATTTGAGTTGACAAAGTTCAACAAAACTATTCTGCAGAGAGCCAGAGATTCAAACAGGTTCATCTTAAATCATCGCTCCCTCCCTCCCCGATGGAAGAGGAAGGCTGCCCACTCTGCCGTAGCCTGAAAGGCTAAAACTCCCGCCTCGGAGCCAGCTGAGCAGCCAGGAACAATTAGCCCATCGATTAACGAAGGCAGTTCATCGAGCCCTCCCCTCCCCCGGGCGCCACAAGAGGAGCACCAGCCAGCCTGGGCGCATGGTCAAGCTCGGGCCTGCAGAAACGCCCAGACGTGGTTATTTAGCCAGACCGTAGATTAGCCGGGAGCTGCTCGTCAGACCCACCCAAACACCTCCAGGATGAAAAGCCCTGACACAGGGAACTGGCGGCTTGCCAGGGATTGTGGGGTCTGGGGAACGGAGAGCAGCCTCCTCCTCTGCCTGCTCCCTGCTCCCTCCTCTGCCCGTCTGCCCAGGGCAGCTCTGAGTTTCTCCGCTCAAAAGGCACCAATAAAACCGATTCGGAACTGGCTGTCCAGATTTGTACAAATGTGAGCTCGCTCTGTGCCTAATTTTGAAACTGAAAATTTGTTTTCTTCCCTTCCGCAAGAGCCTCTTAAGAGCTGCCTAAGAAAAGGAACTCTACCTTCTGTAAGATTTTTTAATGCATTTCTGCATTTCCATCCACTTATTACAAACACCAAACATTTTCTTCCACCTGGACGGAGGAGAAAAATAGTCTTGAACATTGGCCAGCCTCCGAGGAAAGACTCCCCAGCTGCAGTTGGTGAGATGGCCAATCATCCTCATCTCTCTGATGAAGCAGCAGCAAAGCCCCACAGCACAACTTTCCCAGTCCCCCAAATCCTGGGCACACTGCTGAGATCCCACGGGAGCATTTGGGTTCTTTTGTCTGCTTCAGAAACACCTGCATTTCTGGGATATAAATAGGAAGAAGCCAGAATAATCGAATTGGGGGCCGAGCACTGACTGGCAGGTGGAGGGCAGAGAGAGGCACCTGGGGGGCTGGAGGGGAGGGGGGCACTCCCCAGCCCTTCCAGCTTTGCAAAGTGGCGTCCATGAGCTTAGGGGGTCTCTCTCCCCCAAAGGAGAGCCATCCCTCTCTCCATGTCCAGAGATAAAGCACTTCATGTATTCAATGCACAGAGGCCACCGCCATCCAGATGTGCTCTCCTCTATAACAGAGTAAGTGTTGGAAGGGACCGAACTAGTCCAACTCCCTGCTCAACTATGCCATTCCTGACAAGTGGCTATCCAGGCTCTTCTTGAAAGCCGCCAGTGATGGAGCACCCACAATTTGCGGAGGCAAGCCCTTCCACTGATAACAGAGTTGGAAGGGACTTTGGAGGTCTTCTAGTCCAACCCCCTGCTCAAGCAGGAGGCCCTAGATCATTTCAGACAAATGGCTGTCCAATCTCTTCTTGAAAACCTCCACGACCTCGGAGGGAAGCTGTTCCGTTGGTGAATTGTCTTTGCTATTAGGAAATTTCTCTTTAGTTCTAGGTTGCTTCTCTCCTTGAAAAGTTTCCATCCTTTGCTTCTTCTCTTGCCTTCTGGCGCTTTGGAGAACAGGTTGCCCCCCTACCCCACCTCTTCTTTGGGGAAGCCCCTCAGATATTGGAAGAGTGCTATCATGTCTCCCCTGGTCCTTCTTTTCACTAGGCTGGCCATACCCAGTTCCTGCAACCGTTCTTCATCTGTTTTAGCCTCCAGTCCCCAATCATC